TCACCTATCATCTCTCACTGGTGCCTTACCAGCGTATACTGATAGCGCAGACGGAGTTACCATTACATCTCCACCCGTAAAAAAAATATAACACGTAAGAAATGTAAAATTAGACCTTATTTCAATGATCTAAGACTCTAAACGCAAAATGTATCCTCTCCAAGGCGGTCTCTGTAAAGGAGCATAATAATAATAAATTTAAAATAACAACACACTTTTGAAATATACATCTGAGACTGTAATAAATTGTTTAGTTGGCAACACTGATAAATCACGTGGGCGTTACCAGTCTGGTATGAAATCTTTCAAGTGAATTTCACCATATAATGTTCTGAATGTAATCTCCGATGCGTATACGTATATGAAACAAACGTAACGTCAGTCAGTACGCCCCAACTACTGTTCGGGATGGTATGTTACTGTGCATGCCACACCGACACTTGGACAATGACACACATGTTCTATGGCGAGAAGGCACGGTGATTGGGAGATGATGCGAGGGTGTATAAGGCATATTCTTTTAAATAACAAACAAATTTCAAAATAGTTCGACAAATTCGAATTTATAATTTCAACTTACTGTATATGGAATTTGGAAAAAAAATGCGTTAATTTTTATACAAAATAGAACGTAACTAAACTCATATCTTGCTGTAGGACTTTAGTTGTAGATTACTAGTCATGGGTAATCATGGGTCATCGGATCGGTATCCATATACCGATCCGATATCTATATATTGGGTTTCTCTGCACATTGATGTCAAGGAAAAGGTCATCGCCCATTTCGATATCGCCCATATCGGTCGGATATCTATTTTCGAATATGCTAAAATCTGTTATCCGATATTTTTATTTTTAAAAACAAATTTTTAACATATTCGTTATTGGACCAGTATATTACAAAAACAGCATCAAATTTCGATACGTTTGTAGTTTCGACAAAATTACACTGCCTGTAGACATAAATTCGACACGTTTGCAAGTAATTTCGACAACGTCGATTGTAAATTCGACAAAATTTACATTTGAAATTCCGACGCATTGATAAGGTTACATTTCAAATTGAAATACTGGGAACAATATATATTTTTTTAAATAATAAATTATTGTCGACAATAAAACGAATTTCATTTGTAACCAACCAGTTACTTTAATTTAAAAACTAAACTACTGACCGAATTTTATTAAAATTTTTATGGGACCAATCTGTAAGTATATTTTTCCAGAGAAATAAAAAAAAAAATATCCAAATTGGTCTCCAACTGACGTCAAAAACTACAATCGATTCGAGAGCCTCCCTCTATTTGAAGTGGGTTGTAAACAATATGCTTTATACACACTCGTTTATTATTAGGAGGAGACGATGACCAACAACCAAGCTGTCGAACACCATGCGTCCGTGCTCATCAGTTAAGTGCATCAGCTAAGTAATCAACAACTCTGACCGATTCGTCCTCCTTCCTGCTCACATCCTCGCTCTCCCGGAATCTATTATTCTGCACTTCGTCCAGCATTCTCAGCTGCTCCTCCATACGGCTGTTCGGTCTGGATTTCCTCAAGCTATTCCTATATTCCACTACGGCTCTTAGCTTTTTCAACTCTTCGTCTGTAGTACTCTCTTTATTTAATATAGCCTCGTAAAATCTCCACCAGTTGTCGATGGAGCCGAACTGGTGCTCGCGACTCTTTAGTATATCTTCGTATATAGACCACCAGTTGTTGGCATAGTACTCCATAGGGTATGTGCGTGTTAAATCAAAAATTTCAATATTGTTTCTAGAGTCGTGCTTGTTGCGTTTCAGCGAATTCCCATTTGTCACAACCGTTGTGGAGTACTGATTGATGTCTTTTGTCAAATTTTGACTCGAGTGTATATTTAATATAACGTTGCGATGGTAGGAAGGCGCCGCTTGGGTGCCGTTTTCTCTCACCAGACTCGGGGATCTCTCGTCTCTGGGTACAATATTCTCTTTATTCAATGTTTCCTTCTTGTATTTCCTTATGATTTCCTTGTAATACTTTTCCAGTAGGCACAACTCTTCGTATGTGTATTTGGATATATCGATTTGAGTATAAATATTTATTATATCTTGGATATTGACTTTTTTCTTCTTACCTTCGACTTTAATATTGGACAAAGCTTTCAACTGTTCGATTAAAGGATCAAATCCTTTATAAATAAAGTCTTTTTTAGCGAAATCAATCAATTTCAATACCATGTCCTCGTAACGTTTGTCGTATTCCAAATCTTTGTTTACAGCTTTCGATCTGTCCACGTCGTCGATGAATCTCTGTAATGTCAACTTCTCTTTTTCGAATCTGTCTATTTCTGTTTGATAATCTCCTATAACTAATTCATGGCCGCTGAATCTTTCTAACTCTCGCCTTGTTTCCTCCATTTTTTCTAAATTCCTCTTAGCGAGCGCCTTCCACCATTCCGTGTCATCTTTGAACAACTTCCAAAATTCTGTTTTCACTTCTTTAGTTACTGTATCGGGTTTTAAGACAATCTCTGTAGATTCGTCTTTTTGTTTTTGCTCTGGACTTAATATCTCCTTTGCTGGCTCGACCGTATTGATTTCTTTTTTACTAGCATCCAAGTTGACAATCAAGTTCACCGGTTTGACCCTTCTCACTTTGAACACTGGATATTTTAATTTTGGTTTTTTCTCTTCCAACTTTGGCTTTTTAACTGGTATAGTGGTTTGTATAGTTTTTATTGTGGTTGTATTTTTAACTATACTTTCATCTTGTTCTACTTCAGAGTCTAAATCTTCTACAACTTGAGAGAGTCGCTTCATCTCATTATCGAGATCAGAATTAGCTTTCAATCTACTTATCTTATCTCGCTTTCTTTTATTTTCGACTCTATCGCTCACTTCAACAAACAAGTCGACGAGCTTTTTAATCTCACCTAATAGTATATTTTCACCATATTTAAGCACCCTCCAGTCCATATCGACTAGACTATTTCTAGCTGCCAAGTTGTACCGTTCGTTCAAGTCGTCATCCTTGGCAGTTATTTCGGGTACTTCTTTCATTAAACTCTCAATGTACGTGACGACCTCCTCACAGTTGTCGTAGAATATAGATGGGGAGACATCGTCGTCTTGGCTAGAATAATCTAGGAGCTTGATCAGTTCCTCTTCTTGGTCTGATTGGAAGATATCGGTCTCGGAATCGCACGAGTTATAGTCAGTTCGGATGTTGACAGAGCGTCGTCTCGCCTGACGTGGGATGGTTTTGGTGGGGAGACTCCAGCGTTTGGTGGCGTCGGTCAGTCGCTAATGGAAATAACCGATTACAATAGGCCTATAATTATTGTCACGTCAGCATTGTTGCCAAATTGTTAAGATGGACTTTTCAATACACTTTTTTGTGTAGTATTGAGTTGCAGGGCAAATTTTATGTTATAAAGTTGAGTAAATATTTGGCAAAGACGCTGGCGTCGAATCTCTAGTCCAATATTGACGACATTTCATACTCAAATGGACAAATGTGAATTATAGACAAGAGTAACAACGTAGCAGACTTAGAAAAACATTTAAGCGTACATTTAAAAAGGAATTTAGGACGTGTTTCAATGTCTATGTATTTTGCTGAGCGATACCCAATGTTTCAATACTAGTATTGATCGGAAGTAATAATTCTTTGATCAATTGATCTCTTCGTGTAATTTGAGCAATTGTAGATCGAAATATAATAAATTTAGATACTAAATCTTTCTTTGACAATTAAAAATATATGTCTGTGAAAATACTATTTTTTTTTATAAATCAACAAGTAACATGGAACATCAGAAAGAATATTAGGAATTGTATTTATTTTAAATTACAGAAAAATTGGGAAACGCGCACAAACAACAACTTGCGATAACAATGTACATTTCCTGCGGCTTTGTTCGCGGTCAGTGACATTTTTAATTAAGAAACTAATAAATACAGTGAACGCTCTATATAAGCAACTCATTTGAATCAATTTCAATAAAAAAAAAATCTTATTGCGAAAAGTTGTTTATAGGGGAAAAAGGAGTATAAAAACATTTTACCGTCTGGAAAATATTTTCACTTATTTCTTTTACTAACTGTTGTGGCCGCTAAGACATTCTACAAACAAAGCTTGAGACAAAATAAAGGACTGCAAAAAGACTGAAAAGAAGACGGACATAACTTTGAGACACAAATTTGCCTTTTGATTTTAATACATTTTGACAACAAATTCGGACCTTCTATCCTACAAGCGGTCCATTGACCTTTCGCTAACTAAGCTGAGTAGAATGGGGGGAAAGGGATTGTTAGTAACGGGATCAAATAGCCCCATCACTAGCGATATACCCTATCAGGTCGACTTCCACGTGGTTCCCCCTGGAAACCATCGTGGTTAATTCTTGTTGAATTTATCATGGTGGACCAACTGACCTGCCTTCCACTGGTGCCTCGCCGGTGTATAACGATAGCGCGAGAGAGGTTATCATTCCATTATCACCCATTAAAAAAAAAGGTGAGTAAAATAAATCTACACTAATATTATAAAGAGGAAAGATTTATATTTTTGTGTGTATGTATGTTTGTAATGAATAAACTCAAAAACTACTTTGCCGATTTCAAAAATTCTTTCACCATTAGAAAGCTACATTCACCCTGAATAACATAGGCTGTTTATTGCTAGAAAACATTAGGGATCCTTACTAAAACTTTAGTAACGTAACTCAAGGTGTAAAAAAATGCTATAAAATATGTTTGGTCGCGTGCGCTGCGGAAACTATTGGTGATAGAACAAAAGTATGTTCTACAATATTGAAGAAAATATCAATAACTACAAAAAACTTCGCGACACTATATGTCCAACTATTATCGTTCTGTCACAATAACCACTTTTTAAAATGTTGTAAAAATGTCCACATGTGCGAAGCCGGGACGCGCCGCTAGTAAAATATAAAGTATGTTGCTTATATGGAGCGTTCAGTGTGCGAGTGCGTGCGTGGCGCTGCCAGTACCGACCTTGGCGGCGTGCTTGAGGCGCTGCATGTCGGGGTGCGCGACGTGCTTGCCGGCGGCGGCGGTGGTGGCGGCCACCAGGTCCCGCAGCGCGGCCGCCACGTCGCGCGCCGCGTGCAGCAGCAGCACCTGCGACTCGGGGCTGCCCGCGCCCAGCGACGCCGCGCCCAGCTTCACCACCTCGCACAGTTGCACTGCGCACACGCACGGTACCGGCTCAATCCATACAGGAATAGGGGGAGGGATCGGATTCATAATAGTGGAGGGATTTAGCCAATATACTTTCTCAGGTCTACGTCCACGCAGCCCTTCTTACGGGTAATTCTTAATCAATTCATCACAACGGCACTACTGGCCTTCCTGCAACCTCACTTATCACCACTCGCTGGTGCCCCGCTAGCGTACACTGATAGCACGGGCGGGGATACCATTTCGTTTTTACAGTCACTGCCATATCTTATACTTCAAACCTAAGCAAACAAGCAACTGCTTGACAACAAATGCACTTTTAGATTAGTCCCAAAAAAATATCATCAAAATCGGTTCAGTAGACTTGTGTAACGTTATATCTCTATAAAAAAAATTAGCTGCCCGCCCCGTCTTTGTATCGGTGTGCTAATAAAGAAAATTAGATAACATCTACTCTCTTATTCACTCACACACTTCCTTATATGGAGGTTTTATAATCCATCTATTTGACTTTTCCATACGATTTTTCATACATTTACTTTCATACAAACATACATAAAATATGTTGTTTCTTATTATTATTTATTAATTGTATATAAAAATTCCGCCTATTGACTTGATTTGTAATTCTTGTTTTTCAATTTTCTTTTTTATAAAAAAAAAAAAAAAAATTAACTACAATTATCACTGTACCTAAAAAGGTTAATTCTAATATAATAATAGATATATTATAGAAACAAGCAGCCATGCATTCCTCGACCATAATAAAGTATTAGGAAATACAATAATTACACTAAACTCACAAGATGCACCGCATCACACCGCTACAGACACGCACACACACGTATAGAGCTATGAAGCATAAAAATTATAAAATATATATATATATATATATATATATATACATATTTGCATATAAACGCAATAAAAGGGGTTGGGGTCTCAGCAAGTAGCAAAATAAATTCATTTCATTTTATTTCAGCTTTCTTTTTTCCAAAAACCCGTCCCAAAAACCTTTGGGACGGGTTTTTGTCCTAAAGGTTTTTGGGTTGTCTGAGAAAACCGGCAAATTGGTCGAGAATGAAGTAAACAATAATAATATTGCATCGATGAATAAGCGGTGTGTAACGAGGGCGGACCGCCAGTGTACACCGCCGGTATACACTCACCGATGGTGTTGACGGCGCTGGCGGCGGCGGACGCGAGCTGGTCCTGCGTGCCCGCCGCGCCGCCCACCAGCGTCTTCGTGTCCTCCACCAGCGTCTTGGCCGTCTTGAGGATGTTCTCGCGGTGGTCAGAGAACGTGTCCGACTCCTTATCCGAGTGGAGCGTGCCTGTGGAAACAATAGTTCGCATCAGTTTCATTCGCTCGAGCTTTTAAATTTTACTAATATCGGCTGTGTGGTCCCGGCATAGAATAGGCCACTCCTTCCTTTCCCGTGGGAAAAAACTAAGAGGCGACTAAGGGAACTTAATATTTGAGGGATAGGTAACAGCGTCCTTCTTAAAACATCTAAAAAGCGCAATTGGGGTTGCCAATTCCCTTGCTAAGCGTGGCAACTACTGGCAAAACAGTCCAAGGGGAAGGCAATGGACAGTTAAAGGCTGGTATGAATATTATAAATATGGAATTGAATCTATTTCTTACTTCTAAGCACTTTAACAGCTTAACCAATCACTATGAAATTTGGACATAGCCTATTTTTGTTTCGTTTGGTGAACATAAGCCGATCGCGCGGATAAAGTCGCGGGTAAAAGCTATTATTATAATTATAAATTTATAAAGATGTTTAGAAGTTTGTTAATCAAAACGGCTAATCCATTTTCAATAAAATTTATTAAAAGAGTAGGTTATATCCCAACTCAACACATAGGATATTTTTGTATTAACTCATGCGAACAAAATTGCGAGTATAAATACCTGCGCTGGCGAAGAGTATGGTGGTGTCGAGATCGCCGATGATGGCGGCGATAGTGGCGGTCGCGTCGATACACGCCTGTGTACCGCGGGCCCCGGCCTGCAGCGCGCCCAGCACCGCTATCACCTGTGCACACAATATCTAAGTAAGTGTCTGGGTCATATCCGGCTCGAAGGACCAAACAAAAACTAACAGAAGTGGTGAATGTTAGATTGCTTAATTTTCCTGATGATTTAAATGTGAAAATTTGGATTGGTGATTCTGAAAGTGATCTCTGTCAATTACAAAGGATAGACAACGCGATCTGTTTAGAGATCCATGTTGGAGATAAAAAAATTCCGAGGTTTCCGATATGTAAATGTGGGTCCAAAATAGTACGGATAGTTAAAATCGATGAATTCTGCTGGTCAAGCGTTACCTTCTCGTTGACGTGCTTGGCGGCGTCGGCGACGGCTCGCTGGTGAGGTGGCACGGCCGACAGCCGGCACTGCCCGCCCGCGCTGATCAGCTCCGACACCGCCTCGCCCAGCTCCACTACCGACACGCGGATCCTGCATCCACAATGCGAGATATGCTTATTGGCATTAGTTCCATCTTGCTATTTTTTTTTTTTTTTTTTTTTTTTTTTTTTTGCAACTTAGAATGACAAACAAGCTGACGGCCCACCTGATGGAAAGTGGTAACCGTCGCCTATAGACATGAGCAGTACCATGGACATAGCAAGCCAACCGTTAAGACTTGTGTTCTGATCAAATTCTTTGTCTGACACAAGTTTAAAAAACTGTATAAAAAACAAAACTATTTTGACCAATACGTGTAAACTGCAGTTTCTAGTGAAAATCTCGGCAGGGAGCTTATTCCACAGTCTGAGCATTCGCGGGAGAATATTCCTTAGAAACCGCACTGTACATGACCATCTAGGTTCAAGCCTGCGAGGATGAATTCCCTGTTGACGGCGAGCGGTGCGATGATAAAAGGTGGCTGTGGCATCATTAAAACAATTCCTCAGAAGACAATCCGTTATACAAGCGGTAGAACAATTCCAGAAGAATTAGCCAAAATGGTAAAAGAGGAACCGTGTTGAAGTGGACCTGGTATAGCTACCAGGTCCACTGCTACTACTGCTAGCGCAGTGGGATTGTTTGATATCCTCATTACTAATAATCTCCCCCCCCCCTCCCTCTGCAGGCGGGTGTAGTACCTGTTAGCGACGTCGACGTTGGGTGTGGTGGCGGAGGCACCGACGCTGTCCTGCGCCAGCTGCTCGTACCGCTGGCACGCCTCGCTGCCCAGCGGCACCAGCCGGCTCGCGTCCGTCGCTGACTTCGCCGTCTGGCGGACATAAGCACATACCGATTAGCGTAAGCAGTGCCATCTAGTGTCACACTAGGCACAGTATACATTATGGGCACTAGACGATTTTCTTTTTATACATTTTCATTTACAATGGCAAACAAGCTGACGCCCCACCTGATGGGAATTGATAACCAGAACAGAACAGAGTATACTGTTTCGCCCATGATACCTACCATGAGTTATAATTCCTGAGAACTCGTGTTATTCCAATGTACCCTGTAAATTCACGCCATATCCCACCCTTCAATCAGAAACGCAGCCATGCAAACACAATTGCTTCACGGTAGAAACACGAATGAGACAGAGGTATCCAAGCAAACGACTTTTGTACAAAGTCTGGTAAATCATGTACTCACCATGTCAGTGGCGAGCCTGGCGATCTCCTTGGCGGCGCCAACCATCCGCGTCTGGTAGTCCACGAACGAGTCCGACTCGTCGTAGCTGCCCACCAGGGACATCCTGCTGGCGAATACACGGAGGAAATAAATAAACGTTATTCTTTCTTTCTTTCTTTATTCTTTATTATACACAATCAGTGATAAAAACAAATTAATTTTAAACGTAATAATAATAATTCTTTTATTTTCAGGTATACACCCATAGTTTAGTCATTGCGACGATAAGTTACTTTTAATTGATTACAATTCTTACAAATTTTGAAAAAATGACAAATTATTGCAACATAGCAATATTGAAAGAAAAAAAGATATATTTATAATCAAATAAATTTAGTTTTAAGCATTTTGGAATAGTCATTTTTTCATTACGAATTCGGAATACAATTTGAGCCAAGAGGAATGGACAAGGAATTCATATGTTACTTTTTTCAAAAAGTTAAATAATATAAATAATGAATTGTGTAAATACAAACTACTATAAAATCAGATTATAAAATTTTAAATATATAGTATATAATTAAAATAAAATAAATACATTGCATCCATTCACAAGCATGCCGAATAAGCTAGCCATCATTGTTTTTTTTTATGTATATTTACTAACAAAAATGGATCCAAGTTAGTAAGTAACTTATATTATAAAGAGGAAAGATTTAATTTATTTCTAATTATTTTTAATCGAGTTCAATAGAAGGAAAGTTCTCAATTCGGTTGTTTTCTTTTATGTTTATTTATCCCATAACTCCGTTAGTTGTAAGCCGATTTGGAAAATTCTTTTTTTATCTTAAAGTATACGAGGTTTGTCCGGAAAGTACGTATAAAAGTTTTTTAAAAATTTTATTTTACAATTATTCAGGTAAATCAATTTTATCCCCTTCAAAGTACTCCCCTGTGACATAATGCACTTGTGCCAACGCCGTTTCCACTGTGAGAAGGCTCCTTGAAAGTCCTCTGGTTGTAGGTTTCTCAGCTGCCCCGTCGTAGCTTTTTTTATCTCATTTATGTCCCCCAAATGCCGCCCCCGAAGTACCAATTTGGTTTTTGGGAACAAGAAGAAGTCACACGGGGCCAAATCCGGCGAATAGGGGGGGTGTTCGGTCACCGTAATGGAATTTTTACTCAAAAACTCACGGACAACAAGAGAGGTGTGGGCAGGGGCATTGTCGTGGTGAAGAATCCAACGCCCCTTTCGCGCCAATTCTGGACGAACTCGTGCCACACGAGCTTTGAGGCGTCTGAGCACATCGACGTAGAATTTTCCATCAACTGTCTGGCCTGGAGGGACGAATTCTTGATGGACAATCCCCCGAACATCGAAAAAAACAATCAACATTGTCTTGACATTTGAGCGGGATTTTCTTGATTTTTTTGTTCGTGGTTCCCCGGATGTCTTATCGAATTAGATCGGCAAAAATTTCACGGCCATTCTTGCCGAGTTTCGAGAGAAACTTGATTACGACGCGCTGCTCTTCAACGGAAGCGGGCTCCATGCCGACGGGGTTTCGTTAGAGGTAACTTCACAGATGGCGTGACAAGCCAGTTCGCACCGCACGGCGGTCAGACCAGAACTGAAGCATTGTTAGGGACATAAGGAAGGGGTCCTGCGCTTACCTTGCCTCCCCACTCCTCTTTCTCGCATTCCAGAACACTTTTATACGAACTTTCCGGACAGACCTCGTACACTTACATATTGATCCCATAGAAATTATACTAAAATCGGTTCACTAGCTTAGTTTTTAAATTAAAATATCTAATTTTGTCACATTTGAAGTTAATAATTTTTTAATGGAACACAATTTTAAATTATGTATGTGCTTTTAGGTGGCAGGATAAGGCTTGTACGAAAGGAATTGTTTGAAACGTCACACGGAAAAATGAGAAATCACACCCGCGCGTACCAGGGACGAGCAGCTAGTGATAACCTGAATTAAACTACGGATATAATATAATGTATAACATTGTACATATTTAATTAATATATTATGTGTATGTTTCTATTATAAAAATTTATCAAGTATTGATTTATTTTTCCTCTGTGTAAAAATGCAGCGCCTACATATTTCTCGGTTTACCCAATGGTTGACTGGTAGAGAACACCGTCCCGTGTTAAATCCGCCAAATGTACATAGAATTTTACTGTGCATTAAAGTATAAATAAATAGCAAATAATCACCCTAATGCGCGTAGTTTCTCCATTATCCCACAGCTATACAGCACAAGTACATTAGGTTGCGTAAACACTACAATGATAAACAGACAGACGGTACGCGCACTCTGTGATACGTATATATTGTGCGCCGGTCTCGCCGCGTACTGGCTGGCGCGGTTTATTCGCATTCGTGCGTGACATAGGCCTACGTGTATGAAGTATAGGTCAACATATACGTGTGTATATATAATCGAAGGCGATTATTGACCAGGGATTGTTAGTAACGCGAACTATCAATCCTATTGTTAACAATATACCCTGTCAGATCGACCTTCACGTGGTCCCCCTGAAAAACCATCGTATTGAATCCCCGATAGGCTATGACCTGCTTTTTCATTTCGACCATAAATTTTTTATCATCACTGGTGTCCCGCCAGTGTATACTGTTAGAGCGGGCGGTGTTATCATTCCATTATCATGAAATAAAAAAAAATACCATAAAAAGTATATAATTTTTTTATACTGCTACTATGTGTTTGCCCGCTATTTCAGACGCGTGGAATTTAGAAGTAGAAAAATCTATAAAAACAGCCCACTTATAGATGACGTGTCTATACAAAACACGCACCACATTCTAAGTAAGACTTTATGGAACCTATGAAAGCCACATTCGATCTCGTGCAATTTTTATTTTCGGAATTAAAATTTGTATATTTTTTACTTCTATTAATCTTATTAAGAAGATAACGAGGGGGTTATATTACTATTTTCCCTAACTGCGGTCGCCAACCTGCCTGCTAGGGGGGAAAAGGATTGTTAGCAATGGAGTTTGACAGCCCCATTGCTATCAATATACCTTATTAGGTCGACCTCCACGTGGTTCCCCCTGGAAACCATCGTGAACAATTCTTGTTGAATTCGTCACGGTGGGCCAACTGACCTGCTTCATCCTCACCTATCATCCTTCACTGGTGCCCCGCCGGTGTATACCGATAGCGCGGGTGGGGTTACCATTCCATTATTATCCATTAAAAAAAAAAAACCCGCCTGCTAAGCGTGGCAACTACTGGCGAAAACACCCAATAGTGAGAGAGGCCTATGTTCAATAGTGGACAGTAAAACAGTTAATACGATTATGACAAATCTAGCCTGTTAGATGTATTTTGACATTTTTATTTATATAAGATTTATTTGATCTAATAAATTTCTAATCAAAATACTAACAATAAAAAAAAATACATGCATTTTTAATTCGTCAATAAAAAAAATCTGACATGAAATGGCACGGCATAAAACGAGTGCTTTTACATCGTGTCCGCTCCATCTAGAAGCGTCCTATCTATGTAGCGGGTAAAGATTGGCCGTGATCTCGCAGCGGCTGCACGCGGTGAGTGCACTTGGCTGGACGCCAGCGGTTTCCTCAACGGATGATCTAATCTCACTCGACGCATACATATACCTACAAATAGTACACGCCTAGGTAACTACGCCGCGGACAATCGGGAACATTACGATGCGTAAACAAAAAGTAAAATTGTAAATTAAACTGAATTTACAGGGTACAGAGGAATAACACCTGAGTCCTCAGGAATGGCAACGCATGGGGGGTATCATGGGCGAAACAGTATACTCTGTTATGTCCACGGTACTGCTCATGTGTATAGGCGACGGTTACAATTTTCCATTAGGTGGGCTGTCAGCTTGTTTGCCATTCTAAGATGCATAAAAAAATGTATAGATAGAGCATCGAGCCTCAAAAACGGCTCAACTTTTTGTCAGCTAATTGTCAAATTATCTGACTCGTTTGTTGTATCAGTATTCTATATACTTACGCACACAATGTATCTTGACGTGTCTATATTTAATTATTTAATAAATAAAATAAGTGTTCACGCATTAAAAAGATGCAGAAATTATAAGACAAAATAAATATAGAAGTTATAAAGGAATCACTCGTAACTATTTATCACGCAATATTGTATGAAAAAGTTGACCTTTTCTCGAAAAGCAATTGTATGGAGACACTGTATGTATATAATCTAAGATTCATATCTATTCTATAAGCATATAAATCTATACTAATATTATAAAGAGGAAAGATTTGTATTTTTGTAATGAATAAACACAAAAACTACTTTGCTATTTTCGAAAATTCTTCCACCATTAGAAAGCTACATTCACCCTGAGTAACATAGGCTATATTTATTGCTAGAAAAGATTAGGGATCCTTACTAAAATTTTAGTAATAAATATAATACTCAAGGTGTAAAAAAAATGCTATAAAAAATATGTTTGGTCGCGTGCGCTGCGGAAACTATTGGTGATAGAACAAAAGTATGTTCTACAATAATGAAGAAGATATCAATGACTACAAAAAACTCCGCGATACTATATGTCCAACTATTATCGTTATGTCACAATAATTACTTTTTAAAATGCTGTAAAAATGTCTACCAGAGCGACGCGGGAACCCCCCGTTAGTAAATAAATAAAGTGAAAAAGAATTAACTTCCTTCCTTTACGTGCGTACGTTTAAAAATACGTTCGAAGCAAATTTGTAGCTATAACTCGGCGTCGGTATATAAATAGCACTGTCCGTCAGTGCGTGGCTATGTATACAAGTCTGGCTGAACAGCGTCACCGCCTCCAATATGGGGAGCTGTTACTGACACTGCAAACGATGGGAAAATCTTACACTGTACAGGGTGTGAGGGAACCTGTCCCTCACACCCTGTACAGTGTGGCAAAAACTGTGGAAATTTTTTCTTGAAAATTTCAAATTTGTTCCTTGTTTTTTTTTTCATATAATCTATGATATCACGTTATAAAGACATAATATATCACAGTGATATATTATGAAATACCAAAAAGCAGCAATGTAATATACGTATTAAAATTCTATCGCGACGCGCGACATCAGCCGTTTCAGATCAACGCCACAAGCGTACGGAAAACACCTACAAAGAAACACCACGTACCTTTTTTTTATGAATGATAATGGTATGGTAACCCCTCCCGCGCTATCGGTATACACTGGCGGGGCACCAGTAAGGGGTGATAGGTGAGGATGAAAAAACAGGCCAGTTAGTCCATCGTGATGAATACACTTAGAATTCAGCGCGATGGTTTCCAAGGGGGACCACGGGGAAGTCGACCTGTTAGGGTATATTGTTAGCAATGGTACTGATAATCCGCATTACTAACAATCCCTTTCCCCCCTACACCACGTACCTTATGAATGTATTATAATAAATACTATGAAATATCAAAAAGTCCTATCGCGACGCGCGGAATCAGCTGTATATAAGGTCAACGCCACAAGCGTACGCAAACTACGTACGAAGAAGCAGCGTTGACTGCGCGCGCGCTGTAGGTATCGCGCGTCGTGTGCATCGTACAGTTGCAAATACATTGCGCGGCGTCAACACTGACAATCGTCAACTATACGGCTGCGGTGCATTCCGACGGGAAAATAATATGCCATCTGATTCAGAACATTCATCTGAATCAGCTGCTTTCGTTCTGGCCAACCTGCCCCTTCCACCCTGTACAGCTAGTGTCTCCATACACGTGCTTCGACAAAACATGTGCTTCCTTACCTTTTTTATGCGTGCTGTTTGAATTTGAAAGGGCGTCAGCCCTACAGTAGCAACAGTAGGATAATGATAGTGCATAAGAGTTTGCATCTATACCGCTTGAATATACTGAGTGATCCGAGGGCGGCCCAGTATAGTGTGTATGTTATATTACATGAGTTTACCGACAAAGGTCAGGAGGTGCTTATGATGAGATTCCAGATAACGCAGCTTGTCAAAGGCGGATCAGTATAATGAATATGAGATTACGCGACAGATGTATGTATGTATGTATGTATTATTGTACGACAGAGAGAGAAAGAAAGAGAGGAGAAAAATCTCTTATTAGGGATAAGCTCGTCTTTGTACATTACATTTAAAATTTATTATTCTTAACATTATGTTTGTGTACAATAAAGAATAAAGGAAAGCCGTGTCGCTGTGGGTGGCCTAGTATACTTAGAGTATGCGAGTACGCACCTGTGCTGCGTGAGCCTGCCGACGGAGCGCGCGAGACTGTCGAGGAGAGGTCTGACAGCACCGCGAGCCGTGCTCAGTTCCCGGGCGGCCCCGCACAGCTCGGTGAGGGCGGCCCGGCATAACGGCAAGGCCGCTTCCAGCTCTTCGTGTGCGCCCGTCGCCTGGTGGAACAGTATCATCATAAATCGTTTGCTTGGATAACTTTGTCACACTCGTGTCTCTGCTGCTCAGCACCCGTGATCAATAAGGGACAAAGTTCATAGGTGGAAATCCCTTGACAGCTGTGAGGCAAAACGATAAACGTCCCCTAAGGGGGGGGGGGGGGGGCAGGGATTGTTAGTAATGGGGATTAGTAACCCTTTTACATTAGTGAATTTGTTATGTTGGGCTAACTGACCTTCATCCTCATCTATCACCCCTCACTGGTGCCCCGCCAGCGAATACCGATAGCGCAGGCGGGGTTACCATTCCATTATCATTATTAAAAAAAAACGCTACTTAAGAAACATTTCGGATGTAGTCGAAACAATTGTCGGAAATGAAATATAGATAGAGGGAGACTTTGTACAAAAGTCGTTTGCTTGGCCACCTCTATCCCATTCGTGTTTCAACCGTGAAGCAGTTGTGTTTGCATGGCTGTGTTTCGGTTTGAAGGGTGGGATATGGCGTGAATTTACTGGGTACAGAGGAATAACACCTGAGTCCTCAGGAATGGCAACGCATGGGGGTATCATGGGCGAAACAGTATACTCAGTTACGTCCATGGTACTGCTCATGTCTATAGGCGACGGTTACCAGTTTCTATCAAGTTTTCCAACCAGTTTATTTGCCATTCTAAGTTGCATAAAAATATTAGAGACAAGTTCACATTTGTATATTACATTTTATTATATTAATTAAATTTCCTATTTGACTTGAGATGCCTTTTTCAACTTAAGAACTCGTTAGCGATGTCGATTCCATCGACGAATTCACTTGGCACTCGTGTAGAGGACTAGGTGTGCCTCACAATCCGTACTATATTAACGTAAGTATGATAAGTGGGTGCTGACCCTGGGGTTGCCGGCGCAGGCCCGGGCGGCGGCGGCGAGCGCGGCCAGCGACTCGAGCACGGTGCGCGCGTGCTGCAGCAGCGCGCCCTGCGCCTGCCACTCGCCCACCACGGACGCCAGCCCCGTGGCCGCCGCCGCCAGCGGCTCCGCGTACGACGTCTGCACACACCACGTCACATCACATCACGCCACCTCCATACACACCACGAGTGTCCGGCTCCGAGGACCAGGACAACATTCACAATAGCATTGGATACGAAGCTTAAAACAGTAAAGTGATTCAAGTACATGCACGCAAATCCTCTACAGACCTCTTGTGTCTATTAGGATTCCCTAATTTCATCATCATCATCATCTCAGCCATTATGCGTCCACTGCTGGACATAGGCCTCTCCCATAGACTGCCATAAGGAACGGTCCTGAGCCACCTGCATCCACTGATTGAATTGCCTACTTTGGACTTTTATATTAGGATTTACGACGAACAGAAAGTTAACATTTACAGGACAGACTTCGGTATAAATAAAAATACGACACTGAGTCCGAGATTTCAGAATTTCATTTCATGGTAGACCCCCAGTTCCGCAGTGCATACTCACGAGTTGTCCGACGGCGTGGCCCAGGTTCTCGGCCTCGCTGGTGGCGGCCACCCGGAGCGGCTCCAGCCTCTCCAACATCTCCGTCGCGCTGTTCTCGATCTGCTCCGTGTAACCTGCGCGTGCGCACATACAAACAGAAATATTATCAATACTATATAGATAATTATAAAGAGGAAAGACTTGATGGACAAACTCAAAAACTACTCAAAGGATTTTAAAAATTCTTTCAACTATAAAAAGCTACGTTCTTTTTAAACACCACAAAAGCCAAATTGCGGCCACCCCTGGCCACGGCCTGCTAAACATAGCAAATACTGGCAACCCCCCCTCCCTCCCCCAAGTGGCAGGCCTATGTTCAGCGGTGAATAGATATCGACTGATATAATGACCCTGTAATTTCACTATGATATGCTCTCCTTCAACACAGCCCTGCAAGAATAGTTGCTTGGTGTAAAAACATAATTGTCTTCTGTCCGTGCTTTTGGCAGAACAGAAAGATCTCAAATGTCACCAAAACAAGACTAGTGCGTACTCTGACTTTCTTAATGTTTTTCTATGGAGTCGAGTCATGGACAATAAGAGCAAAGGAGCAGAAAAAGATTCATGCTCTCGAGATGTGGTGCTGGCGAAGGATGATGAGAATTCCCTGGGCAGCAAAGCGCATGAATATATCTATCCTGACGCGACTCCGCATAAATAATAGGCTCTCGACAGTCTGCTATCGGAGGATTCTTGGATACTTCGGTCATGTTGCTCGACGACAGTCCGACAATCTTGACAAACTAATGGTTGTAGGCAAGATAGAGGGAAAAAGACCACGCGGACGATCGCCTAATCGATGGTCGGACCAAGTAACCGCCGTTACGGGACTGTCAATTGCAGCTGCCCTGCGAGAGGCTGAAGATCGTGCAAAATGTAATAACATCATAAGAAAGGCAACAGACACCTTTCAAGGACACGACCTTCAGTAATGAAGAGGACGAAGAGAGAGAGTCTTCTGTCCCTTCTGCTTCAGTACTCAGTATATAAGTTGAGGCGAGGACAGACGTGTTGGTGTTGTAGTGGTCACCTTGCAGCGAGTTGGCCTTTCTGGGCTGCAGCTCCTGGCCGACGGCCTGGATGGCGGCCTGGTCCAGCTCGCGCAGCAGCCGCGACAGCGTCTCAATCGCCGCGCTGCACTCACGCTGCCCCGGCGCCTTCTCTCTGCACACGATACATATACATATAGATAGATACTCTTTATTGTTTCCACCATAAGATTACATTAGTAAACTTATTATAAATATAAACAATTATAAGAAATAATCACAGTGAGGAAACAATGGGCGGCCTTATCGCTAAGAGCGATCTCTTCCAGGCAACCTTTGGATGGAGAGGAGTAATTATAAACAGTTTGATCGGAGGCACGATGAAAATTCTAATATGTCTAAATATAGAGATGTTATAAATGTAATAATGTAAATATATATCCCTACTCATCATTATATATATATATATATATATATATATATATATATATATATATATACACATACATACATACACACACATACACAAATACATAAAAATATACAAATACTGCTCACATGTGTGCATACAACACAATATTATAATTTTTTTTAGAAAGAAGAAATAAGTATTCTAACCAAACAAATAAACAAGTTAAGACGACATAACAATATAACCTTTTCTCTATACAAAACAATATATACACTGTTTCTGTGTACACCACATTCACACAACACTACACACACACACACACACACACACATACATACAAATAATACACACTTTTACACTAATTGTTGCTGAACTTCCAGTGATGCGACGTTTCCATAGGTCTTTTTTTTTACTTAATTTCATCTACCCTCCAAAAATAAACATAATATTGTCGTGTATACAAATTGAGACTTCATAATTGGCTAAAGTATGGTGTAAATTTAATATTTTTAATTATTCTAGATACAAGCTGATGATTGAACAGTGGACAGTTAAAGGCTGAAATGACGATGATGAAATCACTTGTGATACTTTATTCTGTCTAGTTATATTACGTTCAGGTCTGTAAATGGTATTTCTCCATCTAGTTGTGTCACGTCCATGGTCGGGGGGCAGACAGCGGGCAGGAGGGGACACTGACCTGATATTGGCGACGAGGGACTTGATGCTGTCGGAGACGGTCTTGCTGTGCGCGGCCAGCTGCTGCCACTGCTGCCGCTCCTGCGGCGACAGCGCCAGCGCCCGCGCCGCCTCCAGCATCGCGCACGAACCGGAGATTATGTTCCTGCCGACGGACACACAAACCATTCAGTGTATTATAATAAGGCACAAGGTTAAAAAAGAAAAATTGTATAAACTTAAAACTAGCAAATATATGACGATAAAAAAAAAAGAAAAAAAAAAAAATTTGCCCTGACAACACACCAATAAACGATGAGATGTATCATAAATGTGTAACATTTAAAATATTTGAATTTAAAACGCGGACTCGTGTTTGGAATCATCTTCTAATCTTCTTCCTCTGTGAAACTTTTTTTTGCGACACGTGTTTGGAAACGGGAAGTCAAAGACTTATATTACATTTTTTTAAATTTATTGCTTTATTCTTAAAAATTAAAACCTATATATCTATTAAGGTATTTTATAATTTATTTTAAAATTAAAATGCAAAAAATAGATGTCAATTTTATGAAAGATTTACTGTTTTATGCGATAGTCACCTGCCACACTCCAGTATGGGCTCCTGGTTCTGCCTGGCCTGTGGCGAGATCTTGGCCGGCACGGACGCGAACTCAGGGCTGTCTGCGAACTGGCACAAGCTTCGAACTGCATCCTGCAGCGGGCCTGTGGCCGCTGCACATCGGGCGCGGTTGGCCTGCATCGAAATAAGAATAAGTAATTTATGCGCGTAAAAATTAAAATTAAAACAAAAGAAATTGAAAAAATTAAACCTTACTATGGTTCATCCGTTACGATAGATTAACTGGTGATTTCACCCTAATTTTTTACCCCCCATTGGTGCCCTGCCAGCATATACCGATACTGCTGGTAGGGTTACCATTCCATATTCACTCCATACATATTTTTTTTATGCAACTTAACCTAGCGTGGCGGTGACGGCCCACCTAATAGAAAGTGGTAACCGTCGCCTATAGACATGAGCAGTACCATGGACAAAACAGAGTATACTGTTTCGCCCATGATACCCCCCCATGCGTTGCCATTCCTGAGGACTCAGGTGTTATTCCTCTGTACCCTGTAAATTTACTGCCATATCCCACCTTTTAAACTAAAACAAAGCCATGCAAACACAACTGCTTCACGGTAGAAACACGAATGCGACAGAGGTGTCCAAGCAAATGACTTTTGTACAAAGTCTCTCTCTGGTATATTTTGTAGTCAGTGAACAAATTTATACAGCTTATTTGACACCAGTAAGTTTGTTTACAAAAATTGGCGGTACACAGCGCCACCTAGCGGCCACGCTGGCCTCGCTGAATACTGACCTCGCCGTAGTCGGCGTCGAGCGCCTTGATCTCCTTGACGAGGGAAGCGGTGCAGTTGGCCACGTCCTTGGCGGCCTGCACGAAGGTGCGCTTGGCCGCCGCCTGGCCGCTGCGGCCGGACGCCACGCGGCACGCGTTGCACAGAGCCGACGTGTGCTTCGCGATCACCGTCGCCGCCGACAGTACCTGCCATCATGGATTATAATAATAATAAATAAACTCTTTATTGCGCACAGTAGAGATGTATACAAGGAGTATTTATACAGAATGTGCATATACAAAAGGCGGCCTTATCGCTAGATATTGCATTTTGAACTTACAAAAAAAAATCGTTTCAGAATTATTTGAAATCGCATAAGCACAAACGATTAAATTAGCTCAAATTTGTTTCGAATCGGACTCCCAGACGTTAATTTGTATGATTCCTTATAAAACACGTTCTCCTAGCTTAAAAACCAACCGTAATTTTTATTTTTTGTTATTTGTGAAAATGGTATGGTAACCCCGCCTGCGCTAACGGGATACGCTGGCGGAGCACCAGTGAAGGGTGATAGATGAGGATGAAAACAGGCCAGTTAGCACATCATGATGAATTCATCAGGAATTAACCATGATAGTTTCCAGGGGGAACCGCGAGGAGGTCGACCTGGTTGGGTATATTGCTAGCAATGGGATTCTCAGTCTCCATTACTAACAATCCCTTTCCCCCAACCAACCGTAATTGTGACTGTGTAAAAAAAAAAAACAAAAAATCAGGCGAATCTACTTCCTTTGGGTGTAATAAGTGTTTAAGCAAGAGTCGCCCATTTTTGTTAACAGCTAAAATCCAGTGTTTAAAAGCAGAACATTAGATCATCAGTCATTACGCAGGTACCTGGTGCTGGTCGCTGGCAGGGTCGGAGAGCGCGCGGCAGGCCATGTCGATGGCGGCGGCCGCCCGAGCGAACCCAGCTTGATCCACCAGTCCGGGCCGCCCGGCCACGCTTGTCTCGTCCGACACCGCAACCTGCACCATAAGGAGCACCATAGCATAATCAGTAAAACAATCAATGCAGATTAGGTATTTAATTGTAAAAATTAAATTAAATGTATCAAAAGGGGGGTAAAGAGGTTTCTTCAGGGTCGGCAACGCGCGCGTAATACCTCTGGTATTGCACGCGTTCATAGGCTACGGTAACCGCTTACCATCAGGTGGGGCCGTATGCTTGGTTGCCATCACAGTGGTATAAAAAAAAAATTAAAAATCAATTAACAAGTTTTACATAAATCTAATTCATAATTTGTACATGGGTAACAATTAGTGGTTGATGGGAGGTTAAAGTTAAATAATTGAAACAACATGTCAAGTTAGTTTACCAAGTATGCGGCTTGCGCGGTTGACTCGACCAGTCCTTGTACCGAGGTGGCGACGGCGGTCACCGACTTGGCGAACTGTTCGTATTCTGACTTCTTCACGGCTGATGCCATGCCGGACATACCCTCGCCTGCGGAATGGAATATACTATCTAATGCATGTGGCAGCGTGGTAACGTCTGTTGTGTTAATGAACGGGTATTTCTTATAGGTCATAATGAGAATCACGCATACATACATATTACAGTTAGAATTGAGTTTCCGTTGGGGAAAAGTGGAGAAGAAACAAAATATTTGTTATTTTTTTTTAATTTGGTTGACTAGGTGCCGCGGACGGCTGCAGTAAGGATTTTTTCAAACGGATATTAATGGCAAACCCGCCTTCATTAACGGTATACCCTGGGGGGGGGGGGGGGAGGACCAGTGAAGGATGATAGGTGAGAATGAAAAGGACGGTGAGATAACCACCACTAGTTGCGCCAGCGGGTGGGAACACTCACTGAGCCCCTTGCTCTGGTCGACGACGGCGTCGAGGCAGGCGAAGTAGCCCAGGTCGGCGAGCGGCTGCGTGGGCGCGGCCAGCAGCGGCCGCGTGCTGAGGATGCTGCGGATGGCCGCCGCGCACTCCTTCTGTCCCGGCGCCGCGCTCGTGCACACGTCCACCTGCGGACACCCGCCCACCACTTCAGCGTATGCTCCAACCTTATACTAGCGGCCAGTCCCGGCTTCGCACGGGTGGACATTTTTACAACATTTTAAAAAGTGGTTATTGCGACATAACGATAATAGTTGGACATATAGTATCGGAAATTTGCTCCCTGAAGACTTCCAAATAAAATCGAAACATTTCCATGTATTTTTTTTTATTTATTTATTTATTCATTAGTACATATATGTGTACATGGCGGACTTAATGCTAGAAGCATTCTCTCCCAGTCAACCGTAGGGAAGTGTCAGAATACTCGAACGCGGTATTAGTAATTATTGATATACATATTTAGGCCATAACATACCTGTTGTAGCTAATTATGGTATATTGTTTATAAAGATAAATAAATGAATATAATAATGTAAATTCAACATACAGTCCACACAGCAATACATTCAGATGTACCATACATCCATACTGAACGCACACAAACACACTACACGCCGTCACCAGATACTTTATCTTTCTTTCTTAGAATATCTTAGAATATCTTAGAATCTTGCCTCGTTCAAGAGGCAGGTAAAATCTCATTTCCTATCTCTCTAATTTGCTTTGACGTTTACTATGCGTGATTTATCTTGATCTATTTAGTATATTTATGTTTATGTATTATTATTTATATTATATATATGTATGTTTATGTATTATTATTTATATTATATATATGTATGTTTATGTATTATTATTTATATTATATATGTATGTTTATGTATTATTATTTTTATTATATATGTATGTTTATTTAGGTTATGTAATCTTATTTTTATATTTAGAATTTTTTGCATTGTGTCTGATTCCTTTTATGCATTTACTGTGTCTGATTTGCGCCATCTACCTTTCTCTCTGTACTTATCCATTCTTTATGCCAGGTTGTCTGTAAGAGATTGCTTGTAGCGATAAGGCCGCCTCTTGTATATGCACGTTCTGTATAAATACTCCTTGTATACATCTTTACTGTGCGCAATAAAGAGTTTATTATTATTATTATTATTATTATCTTTATTTTATAATATAAATATCAGTAAAAATGATGAATCATTACTTCAGTTCCGCAATAAAACAATGTATTAAGAAGACGTGTCATTTGATTTTCTAAAACACATCAAGCGCAACCTAAAATGCTACAACAATAATATATATATATATATATATATATATATATATATATATATATATATATATATATATAGCTTACAACTATTATGAAATGCTTAACAACTAACAACTAAAGCCACCATATCCACAAGCAGATCCAGCAGCACGACTCATTTTATATATTTATAGATATTTCGTAAAAAACCAATTGGAGTATCGAAATTAATATCGACCTGGTCACTGCAGCTGTTTATAATACATACATACATATACATATATATATACATACATACATATAGAAAAAAGCCAATAATAAACTCACAAGGCGGTTGATGCTCTCGGTGACGGCTCGGGCGGCGCCCGCCAGCTGGTTCTTAGCATTCGGCCGGGTCAAGTCCTGCAGGAAGGGAAATTGACACTTTATATATATTCTTTATTGCATTTGTAAATCACATTGTTAATGCATTTATAAATGTTGTGAGCGAGGGTGGACATATCTCTGACAGAGATCTCTTCCAGTCAACCCGATACAGTTGGGAAGTGTGTCGTCAGCGGGCAGCTGGAGTGCTACAACTATTAATATTTAGAATTTATATATTATTAGTAGCCGACTCGGCAAACGTTGTTTTACCATATACGTTATTTCTAGAACTATACATGAAAATATATCCTACTACAATTATTATATTCGATTGTCATCTTGCAACCCTATTGCGGTATATAAAAATCGCTATTAAAAAAACAGGGGTTGATCGTAAAAGCGTGAAAATTTGAATTTGTATGTATTTTTCAATGCTAAGTCATATATAAATAAAAATAAAAAAAATTGTCAAAAAAATAAAAAAATTTTTTTAGACGTTGGTCACCCTTATAATTGAGGGGTATGAAAAATAGATGTTGGCCGATTCTCAGACCTACCCAATATGCACGAGTAGATTTAACACTCTACATTACATGAATTCTTACATTACGAGAACTATAACAAAATGAGGATTCTCGATGTTCCGATACATGCACTGAGTTGCGGAAAGAACTATATTTTTTCTACTTTCCTATCATTTTTATTATCGTGTATGTATGTATGTTGCCGTGTGGTCCCGGCATAGAATAGGCCACCCCTTCCTTTCCTGTGGGTGTCGTCAGTAAGGAAGGGGACTTAATGGTCGAGAGGTGTTAATTAATCCGCCTGCCAAGCGTGGCAACTGCTGGCAAAGCCCCCCAAGGGGAGGCTTATGTCCAGCGGTGGATAGTTAAAGGCTGGTATGATGATGATGATGATGAAAAAGCAAAGTAAACACTTTAAAACGCTGTCTTAAAAGTAACTAATCTTTTTATACAATTTAGGATATATATATATATATATATATATATATATATATATATATATATATATATATATATATATATATATATTAATGGTTGATTTACCAGGAATTAAAATGTATATCCAAATAATTGTTTAAAACGAAAAACCCCCAAAAACACCGTTTTTTTTTTCGTTCGAACTAATTAATGGTACTAAGTAACAGATTTAATTCAACATTATTATTAAAAAAAAAATATTAAATTACAACGGTTCATTTAAACAGTAATCATCATCATACCAGCCTTTAACTGTCCACTGCTGGACATAAACCTCCCCTTGGGGAGCATTGCCAGCAGTTGCCACGCTTGGCAGGCGGATAGGCAACCGCAGTTGGGCTTTGATGATTCTTTAATAGGGACGCTGCTGCCCATACCCCGCCCTCCCTTAGTCGCCTCTTACGACACCCACGGGAAAGGAAGGGGTGGACTATTCTATGCCGGGACCACACGGTACATTAACACGGTACATTAAAACAGCATTTACACGAAATAATCAAATTAAATTATTACATTAAGTGATAAGTATAGAGAAGTGGGGAAAGTGATTGTTAGGAATGGGGTCAAATAGCCCCATTACTAGCAATATACCCTGTCAGGTCGACCTCCACGTGGTTCCCCCTGGAAGCCATCGTGTTTAATTCAAGTTGAATTCGTCAGGATGGGCTAACTGACCTGCTTTCATCCTCATCAGTCATCTATCACTGGTGCCCCGCCATTGTATACCGATAGCGCAGGCGGGGCTACCGTACCATTATCACCCATTAAAAAAAAAAAAAGTATCTAGAAGTGGCCGTGTGGTGTAAACTGGGAACACTCACCTGGCTGACGGACTTGGCGGTGCCGAGCAGTTTGGACGAGTTGACGGTGACCGACTTCATAGAGCTGACCATCACAGTCTGCGACTCGCGGTCCTGGTGGCAGAACGGAAACGGTTTCACAAGTGCTACCATTGCAACCAGCTATGAGAAGCTCGTCTGTGAGTGTTTTTTTATACAACTTAGAATGGCAAACAAGCTGACGGCCCACCTGATGGAAAGTGGTAACCGTAGCCTATAGACATGAGCAGTACCGTGGACATAACAGAGTATACTGTTTCGCCCATGATACCCCCCATGCGTTGCCATTCCTGAGGACTCAAGTGTTATTCCTCTGTACCCAGTAAATTCACGCCATATCCCACCCTTCAAACCGAAACACAGCCATGCAAACACAACTGCTTCACGGTTGAAACACGATTGGGACAGAGGTATGCAAGCAAATGACTTTTGTACAAAGTCTCCCTCTGGTAATAAAATCCCTCCTATAGAAATTCAAAATTGAATATTTGAATCACAATAATTGGTTTTATTATTGAATTATTTTTTTTTTTTTATAAAAATCTAAAATGCTTATTTATTTATATATTAAAACTTGTTCTATATTGTGTCATTTATTTCGAAGCAGACCCACAATGAGATCGCGGTGCTGTTCGTGTGTATAGGCGAAGGTAACCATTCCCCATCAGGCGGAAATCTCATCCCCGTAAATTACTCCTCATCAGCCGGGCCGTAAGCCTATTTACCATTCCAAGTCATGAAAGTCTTTCACATATATGATGTATATATACCTCGGTTTGTCCGGCCATCTCCATGGAGACGGCGAGCAGCCTGTTGAACGCGTCCCCGAACCGCTGCGAGGACTCAGCCAGCTGGTCGTGCCTCTCCACCGCCTGGACCACCTCTGATGATGCGGTGGTCAGGCCCGCCGCGGCCGAGTTCAGCTCCGTTTGTAGTTCCCTTAGTAGATGAATACGTTCTTTTATTACTTCATTGGGATAGAAAAATACTGATTACTATTAGACGGATCGTGCGGATGAAAACACGGGTTTTTTTATAACATAGGTGGAAACGAGCATGCGGCTCACCTGACCCACCCACAACACCAACGGCATTGCAGGTGTGCTGCCGGCCTTTTAAAAAGGAATATGCTCTTTTCTCGATAGTTAACATGTCGTATCGGTTCGGAAATACTGCTGCTGGAAGTTGATACCAAAAAGTGGTTGTGCGTGGAAGAAAGTGCCTTGAAAAACGCACGGTGGAAGACCGCCACTCGTCCAGATGGTTGGGATGGAATTTTAGTTCATGGCGGGTTGTACAGTGGTGAAAATCAGCAGCAGATATCAATCCGAACAATTCCTAAGAACACTCCCCATAATATATTCGGTAAAAGATACATAGAGATGCAACGTCTGTAGATAGTTTCAGAATAGATTCAGTTTCAGATAAAGTCCTTTTTTTTATACCACTGTGGTGGCAAACAAGCATACGGCCCACCTGATGGTAAGCGGTTACCGTAGCCTATGAACGCCTGCAATACCAGAGGTATTACGCGCGCGTTGCCGACCCTGAAGAAACCTCTTTACCCCCTTTTGAAGAACCCCATGCTGTAGTCTCTTGGGAAAACAAAACGCATGTCTCACCCGTAGGGCCTGTCCGACGGCGGGAACTCTCCGCTGTTGAGTATGTTGAGGGTCTCGTTGATGTTCTCCATGGCGAGGTCGAGCTCCGCGTGCGACGGCACCGCCTCCATCGTCTGCTCCAGGCTCTGCACACATCACCAATTGTTGGTCAAGATATTTGAGAATGGTAGCTCCGCCTGCGTTATCGGTACTAGCGGGGCACCAGTGAGGAGTGATAGGTGAAAATTAAACAGATCAGTTGGCGCAACGTGACGAATACTAAAATTAATCAAGATGCTTTCCAGGGGAACCGCGTAGAGGTCGACCTGATAGGTATCCTTATAGTATATATCTGGTGATACTACCAATGGGGCTGTTAGATCTCTAATACTAAAAATCCCTTTCCCACCGTTGGTCACAACTATCGGAGAACGCCATATCGGCAGTGGTTGGTAGGGATGGGCGATATTAGCACATATATCTTCACATCAAATCCCACGTGAGGGAGTAGACAGACAGAATAGAGTAATACTAACAGGGATGTTTAGTGAACCAAGAAATAATTATAAACTTTTGCGTTGTTTACACATATTGTAAATACACAATCGCTACTTGACGTTATATAAAAGCCTTTACATGTAAATAGTAGCTACATAACTGATTCTTTACTGCCGACATTTCCACGTAGATTGTACCACTCGTGCTTACGTGTACGTACTATCTTATATATAAAATTCTCGTGTCGCGGTGTTTGTTACCAAACTCCTCCGAAACGGCTTTACCGATTTTTATGAAATTTTGTATGCATATTGGGTAGGTCTGAGAATCGGCCAACATCGATTTTTCATATCCCTCAATGATAAGGGTGACCCTCCCCAAAAATTTTTTTTTTATTTTTTGACATATTTTTCCATTTTTATTTTATTATGATTTAGCATTGAAAAATACATACAAATTCAAATTTTCACCGTTTTACGATCAACCCCTGTCGTTTAATCGCAATTTCTATATGCCGCAATAGGGTTGCAAGATGACAATCGAATATAATAATATATATTTTCATGTATAGTTCTAGAAATAATGTATATGATAAAACAACGTCTGCCGAGTCAGCTAGTTTACCTATAAAGACTTTAACATCGCGGTAAGTACCGATTGTGTATTTAAAAACAAGAAATGTCAAAGTTAGTCATTAGTAATAAGATTTAGGAGTTCCAGTACCGTCAACATACCCCGCCAGGTACCTTCACACGCGCCCCATTTCTCTTAGGAAACCATTGTGGTTAATTATTGTTTAATTCATCACAATAGGCCAACTGATCTAACTTCATCCTCACCTGTGATCTCTCACTAGTTTACTGACAGTGGATATTGCCATCATTCCATTATCATCCATTTAAAAAGATTTGGATGACAAAATATTGAAGATTTTTTTTTATACCACTAAGGTGGCAAACAAGCATACGGCCCCACCTGATGGTAAGTGATTACCGTAGCCTATGAACACCTGCAATACCAGAGGCGTTACGCGTGCGTTGCCGACCCTGAAGAAACCTTTTTACTCTCCCCCCCCCTCCTTATAAAGAACCCCACGCTGTAGTCTCTTGGGAAAACCCCGGCAGGGAGCTCATTCCACAACTTGAGTGTTCGTTGTAGGAAACATCTCTGAAACCGCGCAGTACGCGACCATTGAGGCTGTAGGACATGAGGATGAACTCCCTGTCAATGGCGAGCCGTACGATGGTAGAAAGTGGCTGTGGGCACTATATTGAACAATTCCTCTGAGCACATATCGTTGTACAGGCGGTAGAACACGCAGAGCGAGGCAAAATCTCTCCTAAGACTCAAGCTCGTCATTGCAACGAGTCGGAAGGTTCAAGCTGGTTAGGTGCTCCGGCCCATAAATGACAACAATACTCAAAATAATAATTATTATTTCAGCCGTTAACTGTCCACTGCTGGACATAGGATTCCCCCAAAAGGGGAGTGTTCCCAGAAGTTGCCACGCTTGGCGGGCGTACAAGCAACCGCATATTACGTAATACTTGCGAGATATAATGCAAATAAACAGTTCCTTCATACTTGTGATATATCCTTGGCGATGGACGAGATGGTTGTGGTGTCGACCTGCTCGGTCGTGTTCAGGTAGTGCTTCACCGTCTCCACCAGGGTCAGAGACGACGCCAGCACCTGGTGGCTCGACGTGATCACCCTGTCCACGCAGTGGGTACAGTCAATTATACTGTCTATACCAATTATTTATGGAAGAAACTGGATCGGTTGTTTGTAATGAATAAATTGAAAAATTATTCAGCTGATTTTAAAAATTCCTTTACTGATATAAAGCTACATTATTATCGAGTAATACTGGTTATTTTATTTTATACTTGGGTACCTCAGTCCCATTCGTTTTTCTAACGTGAAGCAGTTGTGTTTATACAACTTAGAATGGCAAACAAGCTGACGGTCCACCTGATGGAAAGTGGTAACCGTCGCCTATAGACATGAGCAGTACCGTGGACATAACAGAGTATACTGTTTCGCTCATGATATCACCCATGCGTTGCCATTCCTGAGGACTCAGGTGTTATTCCTCTTCACCCAGTAAATTCACGCCATATCCCACCCTTCAAACCGAAACACAGCCATGCAAACACAACTGCTTCACGGTAGAAACACGAACGGGACAGAGGTGGGCAAGCAATCGAGTTTTGTAGAAAGTGTCCCTGTGGTAAGTGGAGGGAGGGCCGGCTACCTGTCCGCGTGTGTGTGCGGCGGCGGCGGGCGGTGCAGCGCGAGGTGCGCGCGCAGGCCGGCCGCGAAGTCCCTGAGCGCGGCGGCCAGGTCGCCCGCGCCGCGCCCGCACGCCGCCGCCTCGCGCAGCCGCGCGCCCGCCGCCAGCGCCGCCGTCGCCGCCGCCGCCGCGCGCCCGCCGCTGCGCAGGCTCGTCCACGCCCACTCCGCCTGCCGCCCGGGACACGCCTCGCTATCAACGCTACACTTCGCACTCACCACCCAGCCGGCCCGGCTTCCCCACCGATAACCCCATGATGACACCCCGCTTAATACGGCAAACTGTACTCGGTTAGCTATACGACACATATAGCTATATCAGTACACTGTTAAGCCTTATTTCATTTCATAAAAGTAATTAAAGAATTCAATAGTACATTACTGCAGCGGCCAGCAACTAAGGCATTGATGGACGAACGTGCAAATGTGGGCCGAGGCGTAGCCGAGGCACACATATGTGAGTGTTAAATTAGTTACCTCCTTGGTAGCCATGTTCCGAAGTAAAAGGTGATTCCATTTTTAAATTGCAGGACAGATATGAGTTTACATAGTAATTTATCTGGCCGCAAAACACGACAGACATGGATTTTCATACAACTTTTGCCGGCCGCTGGCCGCATGTATCTGACCAGTACGACAATTTTGATTTATCTTGAAGAAGATTGTCAAAATAATGCTCACATTTCCAAGTATGTTTGAGGAATAATATATTACCGTATCACAATCCAATCACCCATATGTGTAGAAAATATAACAATACATGTAAGGAGCTTGACATCTTCCAACAAATTTTGCAATGTTATATTTAAACTGCTAATTTATTACTTTAAAACTATAATAGCTATTCTCCTAATGTTTATACTAGTGAATGTTATGCAGAATAGTTTTTTTTTTTTATACAACTTAGAATGGCAAACAAGCTGAAAGTCTCCCTCTGGACTTATTAAAAATACAAACAATTACAAGAAATAATCACAATGAGAAAACAATGGGCGGCCTTAACGCTAAGAGCGATCTCTTGCAGGCAACCTTTGGATGGAGAGGAGTAGTTATAAACAGATTGGGGGCACGATGAAGATCCTATTATTTCTAGGGCTCGTCAACAAGCCAATATTTTCCCATTTTTATCATCATCATCATGTTCCTGTGCCGTGTAGAGCGGCAGCAGCAGGCTCACCGTCTGTCCGGGTAGCGGACGCAGCTGCAGGGCTGCGGCGGCTTCCTCCAGCTCGCGCAGCTCGTCCTGCAGCGAGCGGATGATGTCGGCCGCCGCGTCCATCTCCAGACCTTTGCACGAGATGCGCGCGCGGCTCACCGCCGACCTGGCGACACACAACAAGGGAGGAAAGGGATTGTTAGTAATGAGGTCAAAAGGACCCACTAGGGGGGAGAAGGGACTGTTAGCAATAGGGTTTGACAGCGCCATTGCTAGTAATATGCCCTATTAGGTCGACCTCCACGTGGTTCCCCCTGGAAACCATTGTGAACAATTCTAGTGGAATTCGTCACGATGGGCTAACTGACCTGCTTCATCCTCACCTATCATCCTTCATTGGTGCCCCGCCGGTGTATACCGATAGCGCGGGTGGGGTTATCATTCCATTATCACACATTAAAAAAAATGGACCCATTACTATTTTTTTAATGAGTAATAATGGTATGGTAATCAGTACATGCCGGCGGGGCACCAGTGTGGGATGAGAGCAGGTCAATTGGCACATCGTGACGAATTCACCAGAAATAAAGCGCGATGATCTCCAGATGGTAGAGTATGGAGGTCGACTGTTAGGAATGGGGTCACTGGGTCCTATTCCTGACAATCCTCTCATCTTGGGGTGGTGACGGCGACTACAATGGTACCTGAGATCAGCTGCAGCTGCTCCGAAGCGATGCGTGGTGTCGGCGAGGTGCTGGGCGGCTGACGCCTCCGACACTGTCGGTAATGCAGCACGAGCGGCTGACACCGCGTGCCCGCTTGGCTGGGGACGGAAGTATCATTAGAATAAGCTCAGTCGACATAATACAGCACATAGATATCAGATATTTTCATTGGGTGACTCGTAAAGAAAATCATCCGATGTTAAGTCCATCGAATGTACATAGTTTCACTGTAGGTGGCGCACTATTACATAGATATTTGTTACCTCATCACTCCGTCAGTTGTAAACCGATTTGGAAAATTATATATTTATTTATTTATTTTCTTTTTATTGTACAATAAAACTTTGTACAAGTGGCGAGCTTTTTTTTTATACAACTTAGAATGGCAAACAAGCTGACGGCCCATCTGATGAAAAGTGGTAACCGTCGCCTATAGACATAAGCGGTACCATGGACATAACAGAGTATACTGTTTCGTCCATGATACCCCCCATGCGTTGCCATTCCTGAAGACTCAAGTGTTATTCCTCTGTACCCTGTAAATTCACGCCATATTCCACCCTTCAAACCCAAACACAGCTGCTTCACGGTTGAAACACGAATGGGACAGAGGTACCCAAGCAATCGACTTTTGTACAATAATATAGCCATTAACCAGCTAACCCTTAGGTGAGAACAGAAAGCGTATAAAGGGCAGATGTGGTGAAAAATATGTGACATAATTATAGTAACATACTGAAATAATTATACATAATAATACATAAGGAATACACATATATTTATCTGAAAGGATATACTTACAGATTAGTCTCATAAAAAAAATTACCAAAATCGCTTCAGGGGTTTCATTTTCAGGCTGAAATAACTAGTTTTGTCACAATTGAGGTCAACTTGCTTTGTGGGACACATCTTTAATTATTATATAAAAAATATTAAAATTTACAAATATTCATCGGTTTGTATTCGAACCTGCGCCAGCAGCTAGTACAGTTGGCAGTCGCATACCTGCAGGAACTGCTCCGAGGCGGAGATGAGGTCCAGCTGGTCGGCGGCGCGGCCTGGCCTGGCCGCCGCAGCCTGAGCCGCGTCCACCAGTCGCGGGATCGCTTCACCCAACGTCTTGCACTCCGTTGTAAGGGTTTCCTGTACAAAACAAACATGGATAAAACAGGTCACAAGTTGGTCCATAGAAATTTATCAAAATCGCTTGCTTGAGCACCTCTGTCCCATTCGTGTTTCAACCGTGAAGCAGTTGTGTTTGCATGGCTGTGTTTCGGTTTGAAGGATGGGATATGGCGTGAATTTACAGGGTACAGAGGAATAACACCTGAGTCCTCAGGAATGGTAACGCATGGGGGGTATCATGGGCGGAACAGTTTACTCTGTTATGTCCATGGTACTGCTCATGTCTATAGGCAAGGGTACCACTTTCCATCAGGTGGGCCGTCAGCTTGTTTGCCATTCTAAGTTGTATAAAAAAAAATAATGGTACAAAAGGCGGTCTCATCGCTAGGCCAATCTCTTACAGACAACCTTTGGTTAAAGGAGAACAGATAGAAGTGGCTATATATATATATATATTGTTGTTTGATTAAATTCTTTCTTTCCTTCTATCAATGTGGCTGAATGATGGCTATTTCCTGTTCTTACCTGCGAGTACTTGTTGGTGTTGTGCTGCGTGGCGTTCTGGGCGGAGGTGATGAGCTGCGTGGCGCACGAGGCCGCGTGGCGGGCGCTCTCCTGCACATTTATTTATTTATTTATTTATTTATTTATAGCAAGGCAACAGATTACATATTAATACATTAATAAAATAAATTTACACCTACACTAATATTATAAAGAGGAAAGATTCGTATTTTTATGTGTATGTATGTTTGTAATGAATAAACACAAAAACTACTTTGCCGATTTCAAAAATTCTTTCACCGTTAGAAAGCTACATTCACCCTGAGTAAAATAGGCATATATTTATTGCTAGAAAAGATTAGGGATCCTTACTAAAACTTTAGTAACGTAACTCAAGGTGTAAAAAAAATGCTATAAAATATGTTTGGTCGCGTGCGCTGCGGAAACTATTGGTGATAGAACAAAAGTATGTTCTACAATATTGAAGAAAATATCAATGACTACAAAAAACTTCGCGATACTATATGTCCAACTATTACTTATTTAATCTTTTTTTTATACAACTTAAAATGGCAAACAAGCTGACGGCCCACCTGATGGAAAGTGGTAACCGTCGCCTATAGACATGAGCAGTACCATGGACATAACAGAGTATACTGTTTCGCACATGATACCCCCCATGCGTTATCATTCCTGAGGATTTAGGTGTTATTCCTCTGTACCCTGTAAATTCACTGCCATATTCCACCCTTCAAACGAACAGCCATGCAAAGACAACTGCTTCACGGTAGAAACACGAATAGGACAGAGGTTGCCAAGCAAACGACTTTTGTACAAGGTCTCCCTCTGGTAAATCTTAATTACACTTAATTTACTATTGTTCGTTGCAGTGTCACCCCAAAGGCTGTTGCCAGCCCGATTCTGGTCAATAAGCCAGATCTCTCACAGCCTGGTGAGTTTTTAATTTTTTTTTGCAACTATGACAACCAAAATACAGTTGCCAATAAACGATTGGCAAGCCGCACTGACCTGCAACCTTGCAACTTGCGAGCCCACGATGTCCTGCCCCTGCGCGTAGTCGGTCGTGATGTAGCGAAGCTCTTCGGCCGCTTTGCGGAGGGCCTCTTGTTTTTCGCGGTCCTGTTCAGAAGTCAATAATCATATTATTATAGTTTCTTGCTACTGGTAATAAATAGGGGGGGGGGGGGGAGGGATTGTTAGTAATAGGATCTAACTGACCCATTGCTAGCAATAGGGTGCTATTAGGTCGACCTTGACTCGGTTCCATCTGGTAACTATCGTGATTAATCACGATGGGCTAACTGACATGCTTCATCATCCTCATCAGTCATTCCTCACTGGTGCCCCGCCAGCGTATACCGATACCGCGGGCGGGGTTACCATTCCATTATCGCCTATAAAAACATACCTCCTCCCTCTACAGGGGAGGCTTTTTTTATTGGATGAAAATGGAGTGGTGCACCAGTGAAGGATGATCGATGAGGATGAAAACAGGCCAGTTAGCCCATCATGATGAATTCAATTAGAATTAGCCACGACGGTTTTCGGTGTATACCGATAGCGCGGGCGGGGTTACCATTCCATTATCACCTATTAAACCAGTCGTTCAATCGTCACGTTTCGTCAGGGGCATACTAAACGCAATGGACTGCTGGTTGTTCCTTACACTGTTGTATATATATATATATATATATATATATATATATATATATATATATATATATATATATATATATATATATATATATAAGGTGCTTGAATAAGTTCTCGCTGTTTTCTAACAGATGGCATTTCCAGTAATATAAGTGGATGATATTTCTGAAACGAACACATTTCCAGGAAATACTGTTCGTATTCTTGAACACCAGTGTGTTTCTGTTTGCCACAGTGTCAACCATATTTTGTTCTGAGTGCTTAAAGATTTCGAGTTTTGTGCCACGAAAAGAGTATTTGCGGGGAATTCTATTGCATTATTTTATACAGAAGAAATCAGCAGCTGAAGCACACCGAATTCTTGTTGAGACGTATGAGGAACATGCTCTGTCGGAAACGACTTGCAGAGACTGGTTTCGACGGTTCAAAAATGATGATTTTGATCTTCAAGATAAAGAACGTTCTGGCGCACTGAAAAAGTTTAAAGACGAACAATTGAAGGCATTACTTGATGTAGACGCGTGTCAGACGCTAGCCGGCCTTAGAAAATCATTAGGAGTATATATATATATATATATATATATATATATATATATATATATATATATATATATATATATATATATATATAATGATGTAAGTGTTGGTTTGATCGTGGAGCCGTAGGTTGTTTACCTGCGGCGCGGAGGCGCACTGGCGGGCGGCCTCCACCATGCGCGCGGTGGCGTCGGCCAGCAGCTTGGCCGCCGCCAGCAGCTTGCGCTGCGACTCCGACGGCTGCTTCTCTGCCTCCGTCTGTCACAAATCATTCAGATTACTAACATCACACAATGCAGCCGTGCAGCTCCCGACATGGAATGGAAGGGATGGCCTACCCTCTCTTTCCCGTGGGTGTCGTAAGAGGCGACTGAGGAGGGCGAGGGATGGACAGCAGCGTCCCTCTTAAAACATCACTAAAGCCTGACTGCGGTTGCCAATCCGCCTGCCAAGCGTGGCAACTACTGGCAAAACCCCCATGTGGGGACGGCCATGTTCAGCAGTGGACAGTCAATGGCTTAATCCGATCTGATCGAATCCGAAAGGGACAGAGATTGTTTCGACAGTTTGTCTTCTTCATTCTTCTTTCAGGCGTCTTCTCCAAAGAGCTAAACTAAACTCAACGTTCCCTTTCTGATTATCTGTTTGTAAAACCAAAGCTAAGGTACGCCACCTTGATGTCGGTGATGAGGTGCGCGGTGGCCTGGCCCAGTAGGCGGGCGTGGCGCACCATGTCGGTGGGGTCGGCGGACTCGACCACCTGCTCGCTCGCGGTCAGCACGCTCTCCACCACGCGCTCGCTTGCGTGCGCAGTGGCCGCGTTGCGACGCTCTGTGGAGACATTGCTGGTTAATATTACGATACATTAACATTACATGATGTATTAAAATAAAAATCTAGAAATTTATGTAGTTGCTAAGTTAAATAAGAAAAGCTGAACCAAAATGGTTTAAGTTAAAAATATTTTTAGTACAAAAATAAATTGGAGAGGTATTATATATAATATAAATTTTATAATAAGCAAAGTAAAATAACATGATATCGACGACAAAAGAACTAACTACAAAAAAATATCGATCCAAATTAGGTTCCTAATTTGGCTTAAACAAATGTAGTAACAACATAATTATGACTGATTCAAAAAAAAAAAGAAACAGCAACGTCAATTGTGGCAAAACCAATTTTGATTTAAAAATTAAATTACTGAAACGATTTTCATAAAATTTCTACGGGACTAATCTGTAAGTATATCCTTTCAGATAAAAATGGAATTTGCCAAATCGGTTTACAACTGACGGAGTTATGAGGTGACAAACATAAAAACAAATACAAATTAAACGAGAACCTCATTTTTTTTAAGTCGATTGAAAATTTAGTAGATAAATTCAGAATCCCTTTGTATGTTTAATAGTAGACTAGTATTAAAAAAAAGTACTAAAAAGTACGAAAAATTATTAAAAAAAAAAAAATATCGTCATAGTCGTAGAATACTGACGCATCTGACAAAACATATAAAGATCCGTCAGTATTGTACGAGTATGACGCTATGGTGCAAGGTGTGCAGAGTCACCCAGGTCGCAGTGCGCCAGCAGCCTGTCCAGCTCGTCGGAGACGCGGCGCGCGGCGGCCAGCAGCTGGTCCACGAGCGGCGGCTCGGGCGCCGGCCGCGCCGCCTCCACCAGCCGCTCCACCGCGCGCGCCACCTGCCGCGCCGCCGCCGCCAGCTGCTCGCGGCACGCCGGGCTCTGCAGCGTCGGCGCCACCACCTGCCACCATTGCGACCATGCCCGCCTTGCGATCACCGCTGCTACCCCACCACCAGCTCCCCGCCCATCCCCACCTACCTACCTCTTACTGATATACCACCAGCGTGTGCCGGATAACGCAGGTAGGTGACACGTTATCCCGACCAGTAAACATATGTTTGCGGATTTTATCACCACGAGGAAGAAGCGCAGCAGCACTGAATTTTTTTTTTTTTTTTTATGCAACTTAGAATGACAAACAAGCTGACGGCCCACCTGATGGAAAGTGGTAACCGTCGCCTATAGACATGAGCAGTACCATGGACATAGCAGACTATACTGTTTCACCCATGATACCCCCCATGCGTTGAATGTGTGGTTGTGGCCAATCAAATACACATTTTAGGGGGAAAGGGATTGTTAGCAATGGAATTTGACAACCCATTGCTAGCAATATGCCCTATTAGGTCTACCTCCACGTGGTTCCCCTGGAAACCATCGTGAACAATTTTCGTTGAATTCATCACGATGGACTAACTGACCTGTTTCATGCTCATCTATCATCCTTCACTGGTGCCCCACCGGTGTATACCGATAGCGCAGGTGGGGTCACCATTCCATTATCATCCATTAAAAAAAAAACACTACTTAAAATTCATATAACTAACAGAAATTAGCAGCAAACTTTAAAAAAGGGGCGACCATGAAAAGGTCATGGAAAAGCCACAGTGTCAAAGAGTTTTCTGGCTGAAAAAAAACACCTCTTTCAATAAAAAGAAAAGGTGAAGCAAGTAAGCAGATTTTCAAATTTGGTACCTTGGCGCATGCGACCAGCTGGCTGGTGGCTAACGCGCAGTGCGTGGCGGCCTGGATGATCTGGTTCTGCAGCGCCTGGTCCTCGCGGCACTGCGCCGCCACGTTCTTCGCCTTGATTACCAGCGCCGCGGTGGTGTTCGCCACCGCCTTCGCCAGCGACAGCAGGATGTCCTGTCGGTGATATTCACCAATTATTCTACCATCTCTATAAAGGGGACAATCTCGTCCAAATATACCTATTTCAATTATTTTCCAATTTTTTATATTTCTTAGAAGGACAAACAAGCTGATGACCCACCTGATAGTAAGTGGTAACTGTCGCCTATAGGAATGAACAGAACCGTGGACATAACAGAGTATATTGTATCGCCCGTGAAACCTTCCAACATTCCCATCCCAGAAGACTATGGATTACAGATATGGTCAGCAATGTGGACATGATAGAACACTCAGTGATGCATCTGGTACCCCCCATGCGCTGCTATTCCTGAGGCCTAAGATAGTATGTCTCGTTACCCTATAGTTTTACTGCCATATCTCACTCTTTAAACTTAAAACGCAGCAAAAAAAAAATTGTTATTATTTGTCCTTTTGGAATGATTGTTTTTTGAAATTTCTGTGAAAACATTTAAATATTTTAGTATTTAGTAGTATACAGCTACAATGGTCGCGTACTGCGCGATTTCAAAGACGTTTCCTACCACGAACACTCAGGTTATGGAATAAGCTCCCTGCCGAGGTTTTCCCAAGAGACTACAGCGTGGGGTTCTTTATAAGGAGGGGGGGAGAGTAAAGAGGTTTCTTCAGGGTCGGCAACGCACGCGTAATACCTCTGGTATTGCAGGCGTTCATAGGCTACAGTAACCGCTTACAATCAGGTCGCCCGCATGCTTGTTTGTTGTGGTATAAAAAAGAAAAAAAAATAACGAATATGTTATAGTATTTTTAACATATTCGAAAATAGATACTCGACCGATATGTGCGATATCGTAATGGACGATGACCTTTTTCCCGCCATCAGTGTACAGAGAAACCCAATATATAGATATCGGATCGGTATCCATATTACCTTAGTATATGCAGACGAATTCTGTCTACGAGGTTTGTCCGGAAAGTACGTATAAAAGTTTTTTAAAAATTTTATTTTACAATTATTCAGGTAAATCAATTTTATCCCCTTCAAAGTACTCCCCCTGTGACATAATGCACTTGTGCCAACGCCGTTTCCACTGTGAGAAGGCTCCTTGAAAGTCCTCTGGTTGTAGGTTTCTCAGCTGCCCCGTCGTAGCTTTTTTTATCTCATTTATGTCCCCCAAATGCCGCCCCCGAAGTACCAATTTGGTTTTTGGGAACAAGAAGAAGTCACACGGGGCCAAATCCGGCGAATAGGGGGTGTTCGGTCACCGTAATGGAATTTTTACTCAAAAACTCACGGAACGATCTTGGCGCAAATTTTTTTCATTTGAAGTTCGTTTCTTAGAATTTCGTGGACCACGGTTTTGCCCAAATTAAGCTCTTCAGCCACCTGTCTGACCGTTAAACGACGGTCCCCATTAACACAAGTTCGAATTCTTTCCACGTTTTCGTCGGAATGTGAAGTGGAAGGACGTCCTGAACGTGGGTCATCTTGAACGCTTTCTCGGCCCTCTCTGAATCTTTTTAGCCACTTGTGGACGGTTGGTTCCTTCACAGCATCATCCCCATAAACTGTTCTGAGATCGGCAAAAATTTCACGGCCATTCTTGCCGAGTTTCGAGAGAAACTTGATTACGACGCGCTGCTCTTCAACGGAAGCGGGCTCCATGCCGACGGGGTTTCGTTAAGAGGTAACTTCACAGATGGCGTGACAAGCCAGTTCGCACCGCACGGCGGTCAGACCAGAACTGAAGCATTGTTAGGGACATAAGGAAGGGGTCCTGCGCTTACCTGGCCTCCCCACTCCTCTTTCTCGCATTCCAGAACACTTTTATACGAACTTTCCGGACAGACCTCGTATTCTGGATTTTCACAGATTCCGCGAAAAACTCCCATAAACTATGTAAATGTGGGTAGAGTCAGAAATTGTTTTATATGTATATTTATCTATCTTTCTCACTCTAATATATGTACATGTTTTTCTTCTCTCTTTTATATTACCAATGCGGACTACTCCGAGTCTCCGAGACAGCATCGAACCTATCTCTAAAATTATAATGTCAATTTGATATCACCCCCATCACCCCCATGGCCCATTAGTATCTTCTCTTTAAGTTATATCGAAACAACGTGTGTATATTATGTTATATTAATTAGGGGAGTTAATTTTAACCCTTCTTTGCATACTGGTGGAAATTTCCATCATAACATTGAATGCCCAAAAATTATATAAAAGAACAAGTTCACTTCAAGTTGATCGTGTCTGGACACCTTTTTAATGTCCATTACAGAAAAAAAGAAACATAGCTGTCAAATTTATTTTTTTCTTTAATTTTGAACATGAATTATATCACCTTGATTTAATTTCATTAATAAAAAAAAATCATGCAAAGAAGGGTTAAACTTTCGCGTTGTTTACACATATTTTAAATACACAATTGAAACAGTAAACACGACTACGTCGTGATTCAATCCATGTCGAAACGTCAATCTAAAGAAGCAGCTATGTAGCTACTATATACCTGTAAAGGCTTTTTACATCGCGTCAAGTAGCGATTGTGTATTGAATAGTACATTACTGCAGCGGCCAGCAACTGAAGCATTGATGGACGAACGTGCAAATGTGGGTCGAAACGTAGCCGAGACACACATACGTGAGTCCATCAATGCCTAGTTGTGGCCAAGGCTTGTATAGTACTTTTCTCAAACAATGCGCGGAAATCAAAAACACATTTTTACTTTTTAACTTCAATGACGAATAACGAACAATAATAATTTTTCACGTGCCATAATGTTCCTTTGTTTTTTTTTTTTCAATAAACAGCTTTCTATTTGCTAGCTAGTTCGAAATTTAAATAAAACCTTTTATAAGTTACCTCCTTGGTAGCCATGTTTCGAACTAAAAGGTCATTCCATTTTTAAATTACAGGACAGATATGAGTTTACATAGTAATTTATCTGGCCGCAAAACACGACAGATATGGATTTTCATACAACTTTTCCCGGCCGCTGCTCGCATGTATCTGACCAGTACGGCAATTTTGATTTATCTCGAAGAAGATTGTTAAAATAATGCTCACATTTCCAAGTATGTTTGAGAAAAATATATAAATGAGGGTATATTAGTAATCAGTTATCTTTGTCACTACATTTACTTCGGACAGTTAGTGGCAAATAAAACCCAATCATCGGCGAGAGCAAATGTATTAACAAAAATAACTTAGTATTAACAATTTGCGGTTAACAGCTGGCTGTTTGGTACGTTGTCTGCGCCTCGATGGGCTGTACAGTGGATACAGTGGCGCCATCTACTTCACTTCAAATAATATTACGACCAACAAGAAAAAAAAAACTATAACATTATACGATCACATTTTAGTGTGACGACGACGAGAATATTTTTTTTTATGTGATACAGGTGACAAGTTGAGGGCCTATCTGATGGAATAGTGGTAATCGTCGCCTATAGACACGAACAGCATCGCAAAAATTGATTTTGGTTATTTGATTACAATCATTTTGTTTAATTCCGCTACCATTAGTGTGTGTGCGACTGGCAACATTCGAAAATTCACCACCATTATTACTGCCAGAAGACCCACAACTTGATGGCTAATATGGAAGATTGTGGAACTTCTGGTAGTAATAGTGGTGGTCAGTCTTCGAGTGTTGGCAGTCGCACACATACTAATGGTAGCGGAATTAAACAAAATAATTCTAATCAAATAACCAGCACCATAGACATTACATTTTGTGCGTTGCCATTCCTGACAACTATGGTGTCATGTCTCCGTATCCTGTAATTTCACTGCTATATCCCATTCTTTAAGACAGCCATGCAAGCAGCGGTGGTTCACTGCAGAATTACAAATGGGACAGAGGTACTCAAGTAAATGACTTTCCTACACAGTCTCCCTCTAGTTATTGTAATATCTCCTTTATTTTTCTTGCCAACTGTACACCACCCATTAAGGTGCAGACAGACCACCCGTTTTTGTTTTTTAAAACAATTATTTTGAATTTGAACTATCACTGGCTGGTATCACAAACACAAACTTAACAACAGAGATGGTTTATTTTTATGAACATGAAGTATGGGTATCCACATTGTATATTTTTAAAAAACTATAAAAAATACCGTACATTTATATAAAAATAAAAAGTCAATAAAAAATAACCTTATTTTTCTTAAAAAAAAATATGGCATTTTAAAAATATTTTTTTATAAAATTCGGATTCGTTAATGAACAGTATTTTCTTAAAATCATGTAAAAAGTTAGTTATAAATATGTAAAAAAGAAAAGTGTTATTAAAAATAATATGTACATATTTTGTAAAACGACACATTTGAAAGTTACCATTTCACAAAATATATACGATTCTATATTAATACTCTACTGGACACCCGATTTTTTTTAAATATAATAAAATAATTGTTATAAAACAACACAATGTTGAAAATGATTAACTTAAAAATAAATAGGTTAACAAAAGTTAGGAAGAATTAAAAGTAAAAAAAATTATATATATATTTACACAATTAATAGAAATAAACCCAAAACCAAAATTAATAAAAAATAAAACTATAAACTAAATAAAAAGTAAGCTGCCGTCAGAACTCAATTAATACTGATAACTTTTTTCCACCAAATTCGTTAAATCTGCAATAATCCATTGCTTTTTTTATTCTTAATTTTAATACATTTTTTAAATAAATTATGCCAATTATTTATTAAATACACAAAAACTACTACTTCCACCACTAAAGGCATTGCAACACAATTTAACAATAACAGAAATAACAATAATAAAAGACTAGATTAGTAAGCCTTAATTGATTGTTAACTTAAATTTAAAATAACAATAAATAAATGAATTGTGTGTGTGTGTATGTATGAACCTTAACAATAACATCACAGGGTTGCCACTTATAAGTTGCTGTTACGTTAATTTATATAATTATATTAATACATTTTAGTAATTATTGTCTTTCTTAAATTAAATAATAAATTCCTTTATTGGTATTATAAATAAAGTATTTTTTTAATAAAACAGAATTGAATAAAGGATTGGTTACTTTATTAATATATTTATAAAGTGGCAACCCTGCATAAAAACAACTGAATATAATGATAATGAAGTTGTCAATATACGTATAGGTACATTTGAGGTGTGGTTTAGCAGTCTTTTCCCTTTGTCTTTATTGGGGTGAGGCGGGTTAAAAAAATATATGAAGTATTAAAAAACATTAAGTACTTCAAAAAGAAAAGCAAAGGAAAATAGACAGCCCTATGAAGGAGAGTGCACACATACACGACTGTACGCGGGAAATATGTGTAAAAAAAAAAACATCTTTTACACAAGAAAAGTATAATATTATTTGTGTAAAAGATAATCTTTCATGATTACACACTGGATAAATTGTGTAAAAGAAATTTTACACAAACATTCGAAATATATAAAACACTTTTTGTATAAAAAATAAAAAAAATTCACGTTTATACGTAAATAGTGTACAAAATAATTTTTTATACAATTTATAAGTGAAAATAAATATATATTTCATTTAAAAAAAAAATATCAATTTATACGCGGATAAACTGTGTAAAAAAATAAGATTTTGCGCATGTGTGTGTCTCTCGTTAACAGAATAAAAGAAAAAAATAAAATAAACGTCATGCGTACAATAACAGTACAATAACGGAAAATTAGAATACTTATGTCTGAGAATACAAATTCTGTACAAAAATATGTGTATAATAAAGATTTGTTGCAATTTTAAAATACTTGTGTATTTTAATAAAGTTGGCAGTGAAATCAATTTTTTTTTTATTCAACTTAGAATGGCAAACAAGCTGACGGCCCACCTGATGGAAAGTGGTAACCGTCGCCTATAGACATGAGCAGTACCATGGACATAACAGAGTATACTGTTTCGCACATGATACCCCCCATGCGTTGCCATTCCTGAGGGCTCAGGTGTTATTCCTCTGTACCCAGTAAATTCACGCCATATCCCACCCTTCAAACCATTATGCAATTATGTAAGTCATTATGGCATATACAATAGGTATCGGTACTATGGATACTGATCCGATATCTATATATTGGGTTTTTTTGGACATTGATGGCGGGAAAAGGTCATCACCCGTTACGATATCGCCCATATCGGTCGGATATCTATTTTCGAATATGTTAAAAGTCTGTTATCCAATTTTATTATTTTGTATAACACACTTTTAGATAACATACGTGTTATTGGACCAGTATATAGGTATTGTAACTAAAATATATGGATATTGCTATTTATTGTCTGCCCCTATTATACAGTGTTCATACAATGGCGTGTCCACAATGGCATCCACATTTTGCTACACAAATGTTGAATTAAAAATTAACTCACTTCTTGTTTGGAATTTAACAATAACTGTGGACTCGCCATAAGTGTGTATGTGTATGTAATTGTTTTTGTATGGATATAACTATCGTTTCACGTATTAATTAACCCAAATTATATGAAAAACGAAACTAACGTGACAGGGAGCGAAACTAGCGTCATAATATTTCCAAGTATAATAATGTGCCGAATAGTGGTTTAAGTCCCTTGTCAATACAAATACCTAATACAGATGGCGTGGTAGAGTTATAAAATCGTCAAAGATAAATTTCACTTAGCAATATATATATATATATATATAGAGAGAGAGAGCTATTAGTTACGAAGGATAGTGAACGATCTCCTATAGGAACACAACATGGCCGACAACCGACCACGTGTCATTTATTTATAGCATCACACTGTTTATTTAATCATAACCAATTTTTGTTACCGAAATACGTTTACGCTACCACATGGAAAGGAACAGGACTCCGGATATGCTGTCTCCTTTCACACGCGTGCAGCGAAAACGTGTCTACGAATAAGTCTGATCGTACTTAAATTTTACCTTACACGCATGGAAATAACTAGATTTAGAATTGTTAGTAATGGCTTTGCTAGCAACTCGACCTACACGCGTCCATTTTTGGAACCATCGTGGTGAATTAGACACAATGGCACATCTGACTCGTCTATCATCCTTCGCTGGTGCCCCGCAAGCGAATACCGATAGCGCAGACAGGGTTACCACTTTCGTACTCTAAAAAAACCAGACCTAGCGTACCTACATCATCTCAAAGCACTTTCCATCAGTCTCAGTACTGTTGCCGCCCTCGCACACATCTTTCGGCATCACCCACTGTATCAGCAACGCGATAAGTACAAAAATAAGCGACAAAAAACACAATATGTTCAACCAGTTCTCCTTCCAAATCATTTTTAACTCCAACTCTAGACAAACGCATTTAGAGCAACATTTCTCCTCGTTCCTCGGGCACCTTCTTTTACAGAACTGACAGAAACCCCTTATAAATCTGTCCCCTGTCGCCCTAAACGTCGGATTGTAGAAAATGCGTATCTCAGTTTTGCCTTTAGCGTCTTTACTATTATTCAATTCGACCGTGGTCGACCGGTCCCGGGACTCGGACGTGAAATACCTCTCGCTGCGTTTTAGAAACGATTCTAAATTATCCCTGTGCATTTTACTGAGCTGATGTTTGGTGAAGCTGGCCTCCGCTTCCTCTCTGAACGTCTCAGTTGTTCTTAAAACGCGATTGTACTTGTCCAAATTGTGTATTTTCATGTTCAAAGCGCCAGCCACCTTCACGTCGGGGCCGGCCTTCGTAACATCGTTCCTAATACTGTGACACTCTATTCTGTTATGTTTGTTTAGGTGTTCGTTCAATTGGTTTTTATTGTCCGATAGGAAGAAACGCTCTCTTAATATGTCGTTCTTAGTTCGTACGTTAGTGTCGCCGTTAGCGCCATCTGTTGGCGATTTATAATTAACATTAACGTAGTTATGGTTGGAGAAATCTTTTTTGAAGTCGTAAATTTTGTCGGATATCGTTTTTGGGTAAAGTTTTGGCGTATGTTCCACGTTTTCATTTTTATCATTGTTCCTCTGTTGTAAATACCCCTCGCAGCTCTCTAGTATCGATTGGAAGTCTATAAGTTTGCACGCGTTACCGTCTCTGTTGGTTCTTTCAGAGTTATCCTTTATAAAGGCCGGTTTGCCTTTCCTAAATAGCGCGTTGCAGTAGTCTAAACTCTTATAGTAATCACTATCAGACTCCTCCTGTATAACATCTAAGCCTAACCAGTTGTTACTCGTGTCCACATCTTCGTACAAACCGTCGTCTTCATATTTGACATTGCATTCGTCAGACAGGACAACGTTATCGAAGTCCGAGTCGTACTCTTTCTCCTTATTGAAGAACACTTTGTAGAAATTGTCATAGCAATAGTTGAGTTTGCGGTACAGATAGGACTTTTTGCCGCGTCTCTCGCTAGTCTCTGTTACCTGTGTCTCCTTGTCCTCCTCGGTCTCTTCCCCGATGGTGTAGAGGACGGTGGTGGAGGCTTCCCCGACGCGGGACGCCGCGTTGAGCAGGTTCTGGCGAGGCTGAAACGATGAAAGATTTTTTTAGAACTGCTTGTTCATTGAAGTACTAGGAGAGCAGAATTTTACAAGAGATGATTATGTTTATTAATATTAAATACATGAGAATGCATTATATTTTATACGGTTAAAATTATTCTTCAAGTTCCCCTCGAGTCTGAGGTTTAGGCTGCATCAGACACTTGAGTGTAAATTATTAAGAAATATATTTGAGAACAAATAACACCTTCTATACGCTTCTGTTCTCCTAGTACCATATTATTGAATATCATAAATTTTTAGTTATAAAACATTCCAAAAAGAAAAGATTTCCATTTCCATTTTTTGTAAATATTTAAGTAAATTCTGTAGCGATTTCAATGAGTCTTTTTGTAATCACCGAAATATCAATGACAACTGATGAACTCTAATCACGTCCATACTCACTTCTTTAGTCTCAGGTTCAGCCGCCTTGAGCAAATCACTGAACGCGCTGCACAGTTTCCTGGTGGCGTCCAGGAGTTTATCACCGTTGTCCGTGTCGTCCATCAGCGCCGCAATCATCTGGACACCCTTCGTCATCTCCGGCAGGTTGCTGGTGATGGTGGTGATGGCCGCGCCCACCGCTGTATGGTCCACTTCTTCTGTTGGACCTGTGGAATAAAATATTTTATAAAACAAAATTAAGTTACTGGAAATAGCAAATAATCTGAATAAAAAAAAACAGATTAACATCTGATACAGAGATAAATTTTCAGAAGAATGTTATAAACAATCAATAGTAATATATAAAAAAATAACATTTCAGAATCCCATCCTAATTCAGAAACATTTACCATTCCATTACCATCTCGTACTCCATCACTTCATGGTGCCCTTCGATAATGAGGCAGTAGCCACGTACCTGACGTGAGGGTGACGACCTGGGCGGTGGCGGCGTTCATGGCCGCGATCTGCGAGGTCACCACCTGCTTGCTGGTGTCCATCGTCACCTGTTTCCACTTCACTGATGCTGCGTCCTGACCGAGCGGCGGGACTGACGCCTGCGCCAAGAATGATAACAATTAGATGCTATTACACTTATCCTGTGATTTTCTTGCCCTATCGCACCTTTAAATTCAAAAAAAATTGTACAGTCTTCTTCTGTTAAAAGCAAACATTGGTAATAAAAATAAATACATTACGTATCGCTATATCAGCAGTTAGCTGTCCACTGTTGAACGTAGGCCTTTCCCTAAAGGCGGTTTTGCAAGTAGTTGCCATGCTTGGCAACCGCAGTTAGGCTAGTGATGTTTTTTTTATACAATTTAGAATGGCAAACATGCTGACGGTCCACTTGATGGAAAGTGGTAACCGTCGCCTATAGACATGAGCAGTACCATGGACATAACAGAGTATACTGTTTCGCCCATGATACCCCCCATGCGTTGCCATTCCTGAGGACTCAGGTGTTATTCCTCTGTACCCTGTAAATTCACGCCATATCACATGCTTCAAACCGAAACACAGCCATGCAAACACAACTGCTTCACGGTAGAAACACGAATGGGACAGAAGTACCCAAGCAATCGACTTTTGTACTAAAAAGGAACCATCCCTCGATCTTTAAGTTCCCTTAGTCGCCTCTTGCGACACCCACGGGAAAGGAAAGAGTGGCTTATATTTATGAAATATATTCAAGTATCACAACTCACCCTGCCGAGTCCCTCTTCGGTGGTCTTGATGATCTCCCGTCCGGTCGTGATGGTAGACAGCAACGCCCTCTGTGGTTCCGTCAGTACGGACGTCACTTTTGTCTGTTGCACTTGTGACGCCTGCAATATAGAATCAGTAGTTTCTAAATCATGTAGCAACTTGAAATACAAATTTAGTATAATGAAATCGGCTTGTTTGAGCTTCAACATTATAGTCCACTGACGTCCCACTGCTGGGCAATCCCTCTCCATAAGTTTTTTAAGAGCATTGCTGATGCGCTGTGTTAGTGGTAGTACCAACGGCATTCTGAATACCATTGGGATAGATTTAAAGGCGCCATTTCTCTAAATCTACCAATATTATTTTGGTATGTTCGCGAAATTTTATGTTTACCAACCAACAAATAATTCTGATTTAAAACTATTAGTAGTTAATTTAATATTGCTGCTTAGAATAAAGAATTGGCCGTGATATCGATCTGAAATTTTTAACTTAGAAATGAGTTTAGAGAAATCATCTCAGAGCAGACCTGATTGACAGGAGGGTGAGGCCCATGCTACGTTGCATATGCTAATCTGAGATGAACTACTTATACCACGCTGATCATGTACGTATGGTTCTATTTCCTATTTTTTTTTGAATTGGTACATTGTGCTTTTTCCCTTTAGTCACCTCTATGACATTCTGAGAGTAAAAAAAAATTGTGATATTAATTGTGATGCTTACTCTGTCACAATACATTACTCTGTAACTATATGTACATACATACACAATAATTATGTACCTACACAGCCTATTTCGTAGACTGTACGCCAGTGTCCGAATAAGTAAGCGTGAAACAAAGAGGAAAAGATCTTCAATTAATTTGTTGCTAAATAAAAAACATTATTATAATAATTTTTACCATAATTAAATTAAATGCACTAAAATAAAATATGACATCAGAGTAGCAAACTTAATGTTTATTTTTCAAGCTTATTATAAAAATAACAAATACGTAATTTCATTTCAGATAGTTGCTTCTTTTAACTCTAAAAAAATCTGCTTCATAGATTAAGAATAGCTATAGTCCTCTATCTATATTCCGCTTCCAACCACAGGTCGATACATTTAAATTTGGAACATTTATTCAAATAAAGAATAGCAGACGTAAGTTATTCGGCTTTTTTTAGTTAGTAATAGTAAAAGGACTACAATCATACAGCCCTAATAAGTTAGCTTCTCTGATGTCATTAAGATAAAAAAAAAAAAAAAAAATTAAGCGTATACACACAGAGGGCGGCGTGTGTCCGGTGATGATTTGGCCGGACACCGTGGTATGCTGAGCGCCTGTCAGGTGCCCCACTGCGAACGGCTTAGCGCCTGCGCCACCCCGCAAATAAAAAAAAAATAACATAAAATGTGCATTACAAATATAGCCACATACATAGGTACATTTAGCGGATTAAGCTTAAAACCAAATTGAGATTGCAGTACTAAGATATATATTTGGAAGCCAATATTTACTTATAAGTAAAGCAACTCTATTAATACCTTCAAAGAGAAATACAATTACATAAAATACTAGCATTGCCCGCTACTTCGTGTGCGTAGATTTCCGAATTAGGTAAACGAATTAGGACCACTTTTAGATAGCGCATCAATATGAAACAAAAACCAGATTTTAAGTTACACTCAAATTGGATGGAGTTTTCACAGTTGTGTTCCCTACACAACTGTGAAAACTCCATCCAATTTGGTGTAATAGTTTTAGTGTAACACTAAAACAAACATACACACAGACAAAAATTCTAAAAAACAAATGTTTTAACATCTATCAGTCTCGTTAAGACTTGACCCTTATATTATTTTTGCTTAAATATCTTCCATGTGCAAACACTATCTAGTTACAATTTTATTATATTAGTAAAGTGTTACCAGACTAAAAAAATAAACTTTATTTCTTATTTCCTTATTGAAATATATGAACGAATGAATGAGTATACTGTATTTGCATTATACAATATAGGGAATAAGCAAGACATGTTGTATAAGTACAGTGAGGCGGTCTTATTGCTGGGAGCTATATTTATCACGTTGACCGAGATAGTAGGTATCTCACTTACACACTCTATGGAATAGCCAAAGACAGCTGACAAAAAGCCATGTTGAATGCTCAAATAGGGAAATATTAAATTTACAATGGTCAAATTCATTGGATTCAACCAAGCTTCATTCTCACATTTGGTTTCAAACTTCTTCAATTATTATGTGAAAAAAAAAAAACAATAAAATGTACAGCTATTGAAAATATATAATGCAGTATATATATTAGCATTATTAAAAAAGCACTGTCCACATCTGTACAAACTAATACGAATTAAAATCGAACTATAATCGATTATTGTAAAAAATCCTGTTGTAGAATGGGTAACATTGATATCTATGTATTAGGTATCCTCTATTCATAGATGGCAAAAGAGTCATTGCTTATTCTCATGTCGCCTATACCATGCATATCTACATTAATTTCGATTGGGTGCTTTATTTCGATATTATATATAAAATAACCGATACGATGTAGATCTATAATATATGGATATTTCAATATAATACCCACCACTACTCAGTATGTATCGCTCTGATATTTATGTATTGGGTTTCTTTGAACATTGATGGTGAAGAAAAGATCATTTCGATATCGTCTATATCGCAAATGTATATTTTATAATTTCGATATTATACATTAACTGATATTTAATATATTTATTGAGCCAATATATATATATATATATATATATATATATATATATATATATATATATATATATATATATATATATATATATATATATATATATATATATATATATATATATATATAGATTATCTTTAGATACTATAGTACGAATTCTGTTCTTCAAATAGGGTATATTAAGGTGTCTTCTTGACAATGTTTTTTGTAACTGCGAGTATACAGAAAAATTCATAATAAATAAACTTCCTTCAGATCACTGTGGTCAAGTTGTTAAGTTTAGCAGTCAAATCAATAAAGTCAACAATAATAAAAAATCAAAAAGACAAATAAACGTTTACAATATTAATAAATACAAAAGCGCGATTGGATCAATCTTTAGATCTTTGCTAATTAATATTTTATAGAATATGAACAATTTTTCAAGAAAAAAGAAGTTCATGTTCTCTAAATTCTTCAAATAGGGTAGAAATATTTTGTTTGATTTATACGATCAAAAAAAATATCGATTTGATGACAAATTCACCACTTATGTAAAAAATTATTCTAAAATTTTTAAAAAAGTTTGTATTATCTAAGTCTAATTATTTTAATAAACAAATTAAGCAGTCTTCTGACAAAATTAAAACCATCTGGAGCATTATAAATAAAGAAACTGGAAGATCTAAAATAGCCTGTAATCAATTTACATTAAATTATGATAATAAATTAATAACAACAACAAAAGATGTAGTTAATATTTTTGAAGATTTTTTTGCTAATATTCCGATTGATATTACATCTTCTCTGGACTCATCTCATCTCGAGCAAAAAAATTACTAGAGACTAATATCGGTTGTTGTTCTTTAAGATTTAAATTTTCACATGTTAGTCCCTTTCATATCATAAAAATATTCAAACAGCTAAATTTAAAAAATACGGAAGACCTTTACATGTCTGTAAAAGTAGTTAGTTCTTTCATAGATATTGTTGCTCCATATCTAGCCACTATTTTTAAAAAATGGACCAGACATTTTGCCAGTTCTAAGTAAGGTGTTTGAAAAGATAATGTTAAATCAAATGCCGGGTTAACGGACTGCTTCACAGTCAGCAATATGGTTTCACCGCCGGCAAGTCTACCACTGACGCAGGTGTTGCGCTAATGACACATATTTTCGAATCTTGGGAGAGGTCACAGGATGCACTCGGAGTTTTTTGTGACCTATCAAAGGCATTTGATTGTGTGGATCATAAAACGCTTTTGTACAAGCTCGAACATTATGGTATAAGAGATAATGATCTAAAATTAATGAGAACTTATTTAGAGGATAGGGTTCAAACTGTAGATATTGATGGTGTAAAATCTAAGGGAGCTAATATTAAGATGGGCGTTCCACAAGGGTCAATCTTAGGCCCCTTTCTCTTTTTAATCTACATAAATGACCTTCCCTTTATGGTAGAGAAAATTGCAGATATAGTGCTGTTTGCGGATGATACTTCGTTAGTGTTTAAAATTGGACGTCAAAGTAATCAATTAGACGATGTAAATTGTTCTATGTCTGCAATATTAAATTGGTTTACATGTAATAACCTATTATTAAATTCCAGCAAAACAAAGTGTATAAAATTTACACTTCCTAATGTAAGACTAATAAATACACAGTTATTGTAATGACGAAATAGTAAATTTTGTTAATGATACAGTTTTTTTAGGTATAACAGTGGACATTACAAATTTCAAAATTGGCCAGTAGACTAGCTGCATATGCAATTAGAAGAATTAGGCAATTAACAGACGTGGCGACGGCTACTTGTATATTTTAGTTATTTCCATAGCATAATGTCTTATGGCATACTGCTGTGGGGTAAAGCAGCCGATATAAATACTATATTTGTTTTTCAAAAGAGAGCCATACGTTCTATTTATGGTATGGGTTCAAGAGAGTCATTACGTCAGTGGACTCTCACAGTTACTTCACAATACATTTATGAAAATATTATGTATACACGGAAGAACTTAGCGAGTTTTAAAAAACTCAAAGACTATACAAGTAGAAACTTACGCAATATAAATAAGCTTATTTTACCTAAATGCCGTCTGCACAAAATCAGTAATTCATTCTATGGTAATTGCATAAGATTTTATAATAAACCGGAATCTGCATTAAATCTGACAGAGAGGCAATTCAAATCTTATATTAAACAATTTTTACAAAGCCTATTACAGGATAGACGAATTCATAGATGACAACATATCAAGTAAATAATTAGTTTATTAGCATACAACGTTATAATTTTATTTTCTCATTGCTTTCTTGATTTAATTGATTAATTTTAGAAATATGAAAGCGTAGCGGTTTTTTGTATTAATTGCCGCATGCATTCTTATGTAAAATGTGAATACTATAACTATCAGATGGCAATTGTGAGTAGCTTTGACGTGGTCTAGTGTTTTGAGTAGTCATGCTCACTAAAATGTCCAGACTTGAGTGGTGGGCCGGGTCATTGGGCTCCCTAAAATATGGTCGAGCGCAGTGATGGCTGGCTCATCCGTCATACTCGTGACGGGTGCTGCTTGTAGGGATGGTCTGCTCTAATCACTATGACTGATTTCCTCTTATTAATTGTTTAACCAGTTGGTTATGTATTCAATTTTTTTTTTATTTTTGAGTATTTAATTGAATTAGTGCTAATTGGTGGTTTGTATTCACACAATTAAACTTAAAAATGTAAAATAATAATAAAATTATTTAAAAGAGCATCACGCAAGTTTCTTGCTCGTTCTTCTTGTGATGAGACAGCTTTCCGAACGAGCGGTAAATTAAAAAAAATGTAATGACTTTTCAAAAGTGCTTCAATGTAAGTTTATTTGAATAAATGATTTCTATTCTATTCTATTCTATTCTATTCTATTCTTCAGAGTCGCCAACGCGCACGTGACGCCCCTAATGTTGCAGGCGTGTACAGGCTACAGTAACCGCTTACCATCAGTACGGGCTGTACGCTTATTACCTTTGTGCTATGAAAAAAAAAATGGACCAGACATTACCTTCAGCGCCGGGCCGGTGCACGGCCGGCTTGGCGACCGACTCGGTGTTCACTTTCCCCGATTTGAACGTGTCGTGTTGTATTATGTTCGCCCTGTTGAAATAAAATACGTTATGACATGTTCCAGATAGAGGCAGAGGATTGTTAGGATCAAAACCTAAGAACAAGTAATTACATAGAAGCAGTGATAAAATTGTCAGTTCATAACAGGCTAGTGTATAGAAAATGTTATACGGCCGTATAACCCTACCAAATTCAGATACAACCTGCTATATAACTTTCTCTAAACTGTGTCCAATATATAATCTAGTAATGTAAAATTTGTCATTGACAAATAATTGACATATCAAACATTTTCTATACACTAGCCTGCTATGAATTGAGAAAAATAGCAACTGATGGTGTATCTTTCGTCCTCTTTTTACTAATTATATTTGCATAAGAAGAAAGGAGACAACCATATGATTTACGGTTTTTATCATTCCTTTTCAGAACACTTATAAAAGAACTAGTCAGATAATTTGACAATTAGCTGACAAAAAGTGGACTCATTTTTGAGGTTCGACGCTCTATCTATATAATATAAGCATGTCAGCTTGTTTGCCATTCTAAGTTGCATAGCAAAAATGTATGTAGACTTACTTGGAAGGCGAGACAGAGTCCTCCAGCATGGCGGAGCCCTCGTCGCCCTCGATGCCGAGGTGGTCCTTGGCGCGCTGCTTGCGCACTATGATGTCTATGTAGCCAGCTATCACTTGCAGGATCTGCTCCGCCTCAGTGGTCTGCACCGAGTAGTACTGGTCGCTGTGGGGATGGTAAAGAAACGAACCAGTTTAAACACTTCAAAAAAATTTTTTTTTCTTTTTCTAGTCTGCTAATTGGCAATCTGTTCCTTATAGAACAATAATGCAACTTTGCTGTTTGGATGTCAGGTTTAAATCTTGTTAATATATGATAAGGCCAATACATTAACCAGCTCTAAGTCTCTGTCTGTAAATCTTTTAAAAAAAAAATAAGCCCTTATAACGTTTGTTGGCATGTTTACCCCACGTGTGTGTGGGTGCCAGAGATAATTCTGTACTCTATGAATTATTTGTTTAAGGCAAGCACTGTCATATTTTGTACATTGCGTGTATTAGTGAAAACGTATAAGTGACTTCATTGTTGTTACCTTGTATTTTTTTTTTATTGGTAGAAAATGGTATGGTAACCCCGCCCGCGCTAACGGGATACGCTGGCGGAGCACCAGTGAAGGGTGATAGATGAGAATGAAAACAGGCCAGTTAGCACATCATGATGAATTCATCAGGAATTAACCATGATAGTTTCCAGGAGGAACCGCGAGGAGGTCGACCTGGTTGGGTATATTGCCAGCAATGGGATTCTCAATCTCCATAACTAACAATCCCTTTCCCCCCTGTTACAGCAGCAGTGTTCCTCTTTAAACATTATCAAAACCTAAATGTGGTTGCCAATCCACTTGCCAAGCGTGGCAACTACTGACAAAATCTTCTTATTGGGACAGGCCTATGTTCAGCAGCGACTGTAGCCAGTTGGTATGTTGATGATGATGACTAGGTGGCAGGTGTACAAAAGTCGATTGCTTGGGTACATCTGTTCCATTCGTGTTTCAACCGTGAAGCAGTTGTGTTTGCATGGCTGTGTTTCGGTTTGAAGGGTGAATGGTTTGAAGGGATATGGCAGTGAATTTACAGGGTACAGAGGAATAACACCTGAGTCCTCAGGAATGGCAACGCATGGCGGGTATCATGGACGAAACAGTATACTCTGTTATGTCCATGGTACTGCTCATGTCGTTTGCCGTTCTAAGTTGTATAAAAAAAATAATAGAAATGTTTAATTTTCGTTTTAAAACTTGATACAAATATAAATGATGATAATGATCGTCTCAGAAGTCTGTTGCCCACTAGTGGACCTTCAATATGCTGCCACTGACCTGTAGTCTCCGAAGTCGAGGGTGAAGGTGTTGGGGCTGGCGCACCAGCGGCGCACCGTGGTGAGCGGCCACGTCTGCAGGATCTCCTTGGTCTTCTCGTCCAGCCGTAGCACCGAGTCCTTCGTCACGCCCAGCAGCCGCGGCACCAGTTTGTTCTTGCCCTTCATTTTCTCCTATAACAATTATGATCGACATTGAGACGACCTCCGTGATCCAGTAGGGGGCGTACGCGAGGCATTGTGTTAATAATTTTTTATAATATATATATATATATATATATATATATATATATATATATATATATATATATATATATATATATATATATATATATACACACACATGCACGGGCTTTTAACGACCATGTAATTTTAGTCATATGGGGGAAAGGGATTGTTAGTAATGTGGTCTAATTGACCCATTGCTAGCAAGACACCCTATCAGGTCGACCTCCATGCGATTCCTCCTGGAAACCATCGTGTTTAACTCTAGTGGAATTCGTCACGATAGGCTAACTGACCTGCTTTCATCGTCACCTATCACTGGTACTCCGCCAGCGTATACCGATAGCGCGGGCAGAGTTACCATTCCATTATCACCCATAAAAAAAACAGTAGTTAGACATAGTACATTTAAATAAATACACATAATGTTAACAGAGATTTAAAAGAATAACTGTTGAGTTTCCCGCGGGCTCTTCACAACAGATAACAACATTCCGAATTCTGCATTCATAAAAAAAAATGTCCATTTAAAAGTGCTTGTATACAAGTCTATCTGAATAAAGGTGATTAAAAATTGATAACTCACTCTTTAACATATAGACATACCTTAACTAAGAAAAAGGCCACTCCGTAGGTCTTCAGGTCCCTGGCGCTCTTGGTGTACAGCACCTTGGCGTCGAGCTCGCTGAGGCCGGCGTGCTTGCGGTGCTCCTTGAACACCTTCTTCTCGATACCCTTCACCTTCACGTACGACGCCGGCAGGAACTCCTTCAGGCTGCAAGAGATTTGTTACTATTGAATTAACTGAGTTTTCCTTCTAGACATGTGGTATGCCAGGTCTCTGTCCATGGGTAGGCTGAGAGAATAAAGTGCTTCTGTCCTTACATACATCTTTTTCTTCGTCCATTTTTCAATGGACCAGTTTAAATTATAAAGCCCCACTAAACAAATAACAAATAAATCTATCGATAGACACATCTTCGCTACAGCAAACATGAGAAAGAACGAGACGACTACATCCGGTGTCTTGTTCTTTTTTATCGATAAGTTCCTTTGCCACTTCTTTATGGGGGCTGGTCTAGAACTATGTAAACACTTACTCCAAGAAGCCAGGCGTGTGCTTGTCTTCCTTGTGGTCGCCGAACTGTATCTGACACTGGATGCCGGCGAACTCGCATGCTGCAACAAACATCACCATGTTTAATCCTTTATCCGGAGGAGAGGGACTATTAGTAACGGGGGCTAGTTTTTTTTATGGTATAATAATCACAAAATAGTAATATATACCCCACGATGTCTACCTCCACGTGTTCCACATGGAGGTAGACATAGTGCGGACCTCACTCCTCTTGAAAACCATCGTGGTTAATTCCTGTGTAATTCGTCAAAATGACCTAAATGTTTTGCTTTCATCCGCACCTATCACCTTTCACTGGTGCCCTGCCAGCGTATACCAATAGCGCAACAAGGGTACCATTAAATTTTCACTTATAAAAACAAGCCTTGACTTGAAATTATTATAATAGTTGCATCTCTCTCTCTTTCTCATTCCCAACATCTCCCTTACATCCCCAAGATATAGTGGGAAACAAGGGAACACAATATAATACCACTTTTTTTTCTGAGGTCTCTCACCTACTTCCACTATTAGTTCAAGATCAACAAATCCCCCCCCCCCCCCCAAGCCACTACACAATGCCCCCATTTTTTTCTGGGTCTCTCACCGTCCCCATTAGACCTGTGCTCACAAGGGGGCGTTATCGCCCACTTTGGGAAAGGCTGCACTAGTGCAAGAGAAGGAAAATGAAACCTTATAGCAAGCTATTTCGTCAACCTGATAATAGTGGTCTAATGCAATATTGTTGACAGCAGAGGGCGCCACCTTCACACTACCAAACGAATGCTAGTAAGGAGCGCGACTGACCCTTGTCCTGGGTGACGGGATGCGTGCCGTCCAGTATGGCGTCCCGCGCCTGCACGTACAGCAGGTTGAGCTGCACGGGGTCGCGCGAGTCCACGTTCCGGTCAGAGAAGAACAGCTTGCGGCGGAGCAGCAGCGTCTCAGTCACGTCGATGCCCTGCTCGCGCAGCGTCTTAGCTGGCTCCACCCAGTTCACTGCGCAGTTCAAGGAATGAAGGATATGAATCATCAACTACCATAATATCAATATTTTTGATACCGATATTGCCACCCTTGGCATGTATTCCTGGCATAGAGTAGGCCACCCTTTGCTTTCCCGTGGGTGTCGTAAGAGATGACTAAGGGAGTGCGAGGGATGAGCAGTAATGTCCCTCTTTAAACATTACCAAAACCTAAATGTGGTTGCCAATCCACTTGCCAAGCGTGGCAACTACTGACAAAATCTTCTTATTGGGACAGGCCTATGTTCAGCAGTGGACTGTAGCTGGTTGGTATGTTGATGATGATGACTGGGTACAAAAGTCGATTGCTTGGGTACCTCTGTCCCATTCGTGTTTCTACCGTGAAGCAGTTGTGTTTGTATGGCTGTGTTTCGGTTAGAAGGGTGGGATATGGCGTGAATTTACCTGGTACACAGGAATAACACCTGTATCCTTAGACAACGCATGGGGGGTATCATGGGCGAAACAGTATATTCTGTGATGTCCATGGTACTGCTCATGTCTATAGGCGACGGTTACCACTTTCCATCAGGTGGGCCGTCACCTTGTTTGCCATTCTAAGTCGTATAAAAAAAAATCTAAATATTTCAGTTACAATATCTATATGCTATTCCAATAAGGAATAATGTTAAAAGTGTTTTTGTTCTCTGTTAAATATATAATCTGAAAGGAGCAGCGGTTAAAAGATTTAACCTCATTAATTTTTTTTATGGATAAAAATGTTTCATTGAACTTTAGATAAATTTTTTTTTTAGATTCATTACACAAAAACAAAACCAATTTTAAGCGCGAAATAATTAGTGTGAAACCAACACGGGAATAAATCCAATGGATCTATTACTAATGAGATTCGTATAAAGACCTATCCCTGTTTCATAGTATGCCTAGAGCTTGCGAACCTTCGTCGTCGGTGCGCAGCTTCTTCCTCAGCTGCTCCATCTTGGCGTCGCGCTCCTTCTCGTGGTGTTTCTCTTCAGCGTGAGGGTGCCGTAGTTGGGCCGCTCGCAAGGGTCCGGCTCTTCTTTTTGCTCCTCCCGTACCTAAATGAAACATCATTTATTACTGATAGCTATTGGAGTCCCACTGATGGGCAAAGGCCTTCCCCAATGACTCCCATCTCTCACGGTCGCTAGACAAGCCGTATCAATCTTCACGGAGCCGGTCGAGATGGGCTCATCGCATATGAAGTTAGCCGTGACTTCTTGCTGGTTTCATGACCAGATGCTTGCCAGACGTCAACTCTCCTTGTGAATGCATTTGTTGGCGGTATTTGCCACCCACGTTATGAAGGAACGGATTGAGGGAAAAAGGAGTATTGGACATTAATAAAAAGGGAATGAATAAAGAAAGTTGGTAAAAAAAGCATGAATGATGTATAGGGAACAGGGAAAGGACACTGCAGTTGCGGAGGGAATATTGGTCAGAAACTCCAGTAGCCCGAGAGGCTGGAATCGCTAACTCGTGTAACCTTACTCTAGAATCGGACAGATCACTAGAGGAGTGCAGGATGATACACCAGGCACACTCACCAGTCCATACTCGTCGTAGTTGGTGATGCCGATCTTGGTGCATATGACCACCATTAGGTTCGCCACGATCTGACTATCATCCACCAGCAAGGTCTTCACAGTACCTGCGAAAAGAAAAGATTATTTCAAAATCTCGACCAGGGAGCGACTTGGCAAAAGGATTGGCTGCATAGGTATCTCTGTCCAACTGTGATATGGAGATGGGGCAATGGGGAAGACAATAAAAATGACAGAGGTAAACAAAAGTATAAAGGCGAGCTTAACTCTGATAGAGTTTTCTTCCAGCAAACCCAAAGTGGAAAGGAACATCAATATCAGCGGATACAGCAGTGTACAATTTTTAAAGAGACAAAATTAAATTAATTACATTATAGGTAGATTTCATGGTAGAGGTCCTGACGTGGCGGTCTAAATTTACGAATAAACCGTCTTTAGCAGCGATTCGGTCACAGGACTATTATATACCTTGGTCGAATCCTTGTAAATATTTTTTCTTACACATTTTTAATTCTTTGAATTTCGGAGGACGTGCCATGTTATCGTAGACAATCTATAAATCATTGCTATAACAAACAGCACACGATTGTAAAGTTAATTTTACAGTTTACGAGTGGTTTACTGACCGTCCAACATCCTGACGCGGAGGTTCCTCGTCTTCTTGTTGTACTCTAGCAGGTCACCGTTCCTCAGCATGTAGTAGTCGAGGCTGCGGGATGCCTCCAGCCATATGCCTTTCTTGTTGTCCTCCTCTGACGCGAGGAACAGGCCATATTCTTTCGCTGTTAGAAAGAGATGGATGTAATAATGTTAATAGTTATCTTATCTAATCTTTAGCTCAAGCTAAATAAATGCTATTTTTGCCATGATAACCGTGTGGTCCCGGTATAGAATGGGCCACCCCTTCCTTTCCCGTGGGTGTCGTAAGAAGCGACAAGGGAGCTTATGGTGGAAGGATGGGCAAAGCTTAACTGCGGTTGCTAATCCGCCTACCAAGTTGTGACAACTACTGGCATAACACCCCTTATGGGGAAGCATTATGTCGAGCAGTGGACAGTTAACGGCTGAAATAATAGTAAGATATGGGATGAAGGACTAAGACAACATATCCACGCAGAGTAAGTCTCGGGTACAAGTCCTAAACAAACTTACGTTCATTAGTGTTGGCTTCCAGAATCTTCTCGCGTATGATGCGGCACGCGTCGTATACTGTGGTGGAGGGGTCGAACTGTATCGTCTTCACCACCGTCCCGCCCTCCAGGGATATCTTCAGCGATAGTGTCGCCATCTTGCTTAACGAGTGCGCCCTGCCAGACAAAGATTGCCGGGACATGAATGCCAGATGGTAATCAAGAAGGAAGAGAAAGAACCTGTTCCCTAATGAACACGTACATTAAATGGTCACGTACAGTGCTGTTTCAGACAAATTTTCTGTGAAATAGATTCCCTGCCGAGGTTTCCCCTAAAGACTACAGTATGGGATTTCAAAAAAGGTTATATTAAGGTTTCTTCAGGGTTGGCAACGAGCACGTGACACCCCTAATATCACATCAGAAGGGCTCTATGCTTGCTTGCCACTTTTGTGATATAAAAATAAAAACACCCAATCAAAAATGAAGCCAACTGAATGAAGTAATGTGGACTATCAGTTCAATTGCTAGCAATATTCCCTTGTCAGGTTGGTCCCTCTGGAAACCATCGTGATAAATTTCAGGTGTATTCATCACGATGGGCTAACTGGCCCGCCTTTTCATTCTCATCTATTATATCTCACTGGTCTTCCGCCTGCTTATACCGTTAGCGCAGGCGGGGTTACCACTTTGATCTCTCAAAAAAACCCTAGAATTTCGTAACGAGAAGACAAATCCCTTACTTATGTATAGTGGCGGTGTGGTAAGGCCGGTCGTCGGCCGGAAGGTCGAGTGAGTGGGCGCTAGTTCTCCTGCGCGGACGCTCTTTGCTGAAGGAGCGACGCGCTTTTCTGTCGAGTGTTGCCTGCACAATAAATATCAAATTAATAATAAATAAATCAAATAAACATTAATACTTTTCAAATTTGTATTTTCTTCTTTATGTGCTATATAAGTACGTGACATCTGACCAAAGTCCAATTTATTTTAAAATTCTTTCATACATAGTAGCGTCATCTATTCTTAAGTTATTAAGGTGTAAACTCCATGCTTTATTGGCGTGTATAGGCTTTAGAAGTCAGTTTGCGGTAGTAAGATGTATAGTTTCTGATAATGGAAAGCGAGCCAAAGAAGGAATTCCTGAGGATTCAGCTGTTATTCCTCTGTATTTCAAACCGAAATACAACCATGCAAACTACTTTTGTACAAAGTCTCCCTCTGGTAAGTGATCTGCCTTTCTATTCACACCTATCATCCCTCACTGGTGCCCGCCAGCGTATACCATTAGCGCAAGCGGGGTTACCGTTCCATTATCATCTATAAAAAAAAAGACATCAAATGTATTGCAGGGAGTCAGTGGATACTGGTGGCTCGGGACCGTTATATATGGCAGTTTATGGGGGAGGCATATGTTCAGCTAACTAATAAGTTATTCTAATGAGAAGTTCCGTGACCAACGTTGGGACGTCACCGTGCTGGTGAGGTACTCACAGTCGAGCGGGCGGTCAGCCGCCGCCAGTTGTCCTGTAGCGCGAGCTCGACTCGCTCCCTGATGCTGCGTCACGCACCCGTGTGTGCTTGCGGTGTGTGCTGTTCAGTTGGTACCTGCAAAGATAAGAACTGCCGCTTTAGAACTGTTAGTCAAACTGATGCATCGGGCGAAGTAAAGAAACGATAGAAGACAGAAAAGGAACACGACAGAGGACAGGAGAGGGAGTATCATGGGCGAAACAGTATACTCTGTTATGTCCACGGTACTGCTCATGTGTATAGGCGACGGTTACCACTTTCCACCAGGTGGGCCGTCAGCTTGTTTGCCATTCTAAGTTGTATAAAAAAAAAAAAAAACCATGAGGAAACAACTAGATGGGTCTGATAAAAATCACAGCCCACACGACTTTCTGTTCATATCAAATGAGTTCATACAATGAAATTAATTACATTTCTTTTAATATAAAACAAAAGATAAAATACGAAAATATGTTTCCGCCATGTGTGTCGCAGTGACCCCAAACAGGCTACAGCTCAGTGATAGTTTTGCTTAAAAGCAAAGCACTGATTTCCAAGACGCGTACAACGAATCTAGTGTGTAACCCTGTATGACCAAAAATTAAGAGACAAAAATTGTATTACATAGGTACATACTTATATGAATGATACAGAAATCATATATTTCGTTAATTAATTAAATTAATTAATTAATTTATTTACACTTTATTGCACCAAGTAAAAAGAGAAATAACAAATACAGTAAATATTAATGAGAAGTGATACAAGAGGCGGCCTTATCGCTAAGCAATCTCTTCCACACAACCTTTGTGTAGAGGACATTGAGAAAAAGACAAAGGGTAGGTGGCGCACTATTATATAAATATTATCATATACAAACATATATAGATACATACATACATATATACACAATTAATTAAAATTTCAACAATATTGTACACCGCTCTACTCGCTGACAATGACGCTTCTATCACTTTGGGTGTTGCTGGAAGAGAACTCTTTTAGAGTTAAGCTCGCCTTTGTACATTTGATTACCTTTAGCATATTTTTATAAATAATTGGTGTGTACAATAAAGTATTAAATTAATAAATAAACGTACAATATAAATAATTCATCACAATAATTGTTATGTTGAAAGCAGCACATAGTTACGTTTATATAATTAATTATACATTTTGTTTGTGCATATTGTTAATCTTTATAATTATCATCATTCATCTTTATATAATTATATATATATATATATATATATATATATTGCTCTCTTTGTCTTTTTCTATTACGAAGGTTGTGTGGAAGAGATTGCTCAGCGATAAGGCCGCCTTTTGTATCACTTTTCATTAATATTTACTGTATTTGTTATTTCTCTTTTTACTTGGTGCAATAGAGTGTAAATAAATAAAAAAAAAAAAAATATTCTGCTCATCTATGACCTTCTCTTCCTTCCTCTATATATCCTATTAGAATCGTGATAAAAACGCGTACAGTGTCACGCTAAACTCCCTATACAAGATAGAGGCACGTCAGTGGTATTTGTTTACAATTTCGAATTTTCCAAACGGCATCCCCCGTCAAAAAATGTACACATGACATATTTGAAATCTGCGTGTAATATGTGTTGTAACTCCATTCATCTGGCCCACATAGCTATTAATAACCGTAACGCGCCTACGAGTTCCGCTTTTCACGAAAAATTGTTTACAAAAGACGAATGACTTGGGGATATTTTTAAACTGGTTTAAAACACGATTTCGCTCTACAAAACAAATACATTTTGTTAGGGGGGAAAGGGATTGTTAGTAATTGAGACTGAGAATCCCATTGCTAGCAATATTCGGTATATTGCTTATACATAAAAAGATACAAAAAATTTGCTATATACATAAAAAGATACAAAAGGCGAGTACAATCTTACAGACAAACTTTGGTTATTGGGGGAAAGGGATTTTTAGTAATAGAGACTGAGAATCCCATTGCTAGCAATATACCCAACCAGGTCGATCTCCTCGCGGTTCAATCTGGAAACTATCATGGTTAATTCCTGATGAATTCATCATGATGCGCTAACTGGCCTGTTTTCATTCTCATCTATCACCCTTCATTGGTGCTCCGCCAACGTATCCCGTTAGCGCAGGCGGGGTTACCATTCCATTTTCACCCATCAATAAAAAAAAAATACATTTTGTTAAGCGGTTATGTAGACACATTAGATTTGAATTTGAAAATCGAAATTGTTTGTTTACAAGATTTTCCCAGCTATTTCCATGATAAAACCCATAACTGAGTTTTGTATCTAAGTGGAACACATATTCGACTTTGAAGTCGGATAAACTGTCGCGTATCGACGTATCCTTCCTTTGATCTTTTATGCTTCCTTCAGTCTTATTCTATCATTAGATCCTTTACGATATCCCACGGTTTAAGATATCTATAGTGCCCTGGCTCCGGATAAGCCGTTCCCAGTAGACTCTAAAATACTTGCCAACGAATCACAGTTGCACATCAGCCTAGACAAGTGGTATGCAAATTCATCGATAAAATTGTTATCGAAAGCGAGCCCATGAGTTGAAATGAGACATTCAAAAGTAAGATTTATTTCCTGAGCAATAGTTATGAAATTAAGCATACAACTAGTATTTGGGTTGAAGGACAAAAACTACTGGCAGGATATGGAGGAGTGATTAATTAATATGTACCACCTGGAGGAAAGGAATTATTAGTATTAGAGTCTAAGTCCCCTCCTAATAGGTCGTCCTCCACGCAATTACCCCTGGAAATCATCGTGGAATTCAACTGACCTAACTTTATTCTCACCTATCATTTCTAATTGGTGCCACGCCAGCGTATACGCACATTTACATTAAAAAAAATATGTACCATCTGCAGAATCCATATTTGAACAAGTAAATTAAAATAAAATTATTATTCATAATAATCATGATAATACAGCCGGTAACTATCCACTGCTGAACATAGATCCCTTTGGGGGTTTGTCAATAGTTTCTAGACTTGGTAGCCAGGTTGGCAATAGCAATTAGGCTTTGGTGATACTTTAAGAGGGACGCTGCTTAACCAATGTATATCATCTCCCTCATTTCGAGTTGACCCGTCACCCGTATCTTATAGCCAATAGAGAACGGATCGCTTTGTCATTGATGCGACCCAGAACTATTAAAAAACCCTCGGCAATTAAGTTCCCTTAGCCGCCTCTTACAACACCCACGGGAAAGGAAGGAGGTGGCCTACTCTATGCCGGGATCACACGGCCAAATTATTATTATTACTACTATTTACCCAGAATAACCCATATAATTAGCTCGACCACGAGCACGAAGTAACGGCTCGCTGGTAAAACACTGATCGCTTTATAATTTTTGTCGTTTAAAAATCCATTCCCACTGCGTCCTCATTAACCTGCCCTCATGCATTTTTTTTTATTAGATGAAAATGGATTGGTCACCCCGCCTGCGCTAACGGGATACGCCGGCGGAGCACCAGTGAAAGGTGATCGATGAGAATGAAAACGGGTCAGTTAGCCCATCATGATGAATTCATCAGGAATTAACAATGATAGTTTCCAGGGGGAACCGCGAGGATGTCGACCTGGTTGGCTATATTGCTAGCAATGGGATTCTCAGTCTCCATTACTAACAATCCCTTTCCCCCCTGCATAAGAGGGTTAGAAAATCTGTATTTATTGTATTTACTTATACCTATTCCCTTTGGTCGCAACAGAATAACAGTGCTTTGCTCTTTTGAGTGCGAAGCAATAAACTGAGTTGTGACCATTTTGTATTGTTATGGCACATGCACAAAAGGAAAAATTGTACTTGGCTTTTTATGTAGTTTATTTATTAAGTAATGCAAATAAATTATCTATCTACCTATCTATCTGTATAAAGTTTCCATTGTAGTACAACATATAGTGTCTGCGTTCGTTGGATAATCTTCCGCCCAAAAACAAACTATCTCCGTGGAATCATCGACTGGCACCCGGCCCGTCACCTGCAACGACCCGAGACTATTTCTGTCCAGTATTTATAACTATCGGCAACTCGGGAAATGCTTTTAATGACGGATACGAATTTGGGTTCAGCAGAGTCGTAACTTAACAACTGGTATTAACTCATTTCATAAAAAAAAAGTCAAAAGTCTCAGACATTCTTTTTTATACCACGCAGGTGACAAAAATACATACAGCCAGTCTGCTTGTAAACGCTCACTGTAGCCTATGAACGCCTGCAACACTAAGGGCGTCACGTGCGCGTTGACGACCCTGAAGGAACCTTAAAATACCCTTTTTTAAAAACCCCATACTGTAGTCTGTAGGGAAAACCTCGGCAGGAACTCATTCCACAGCCTGAGCGTTCGCGGGAGAAAATTCCTTTAAAACCACACTGTACGCGAACATTTAGGGTCAAGCGTGTGAGATGAACTCTTTGTCAAAGGCGAGCGGTGCGATGATAAAAGGTGGCTGTGTGTGTGGCATCATTTCGAACAATTCCCCACTGGTGCCCCACCGGCGTATACCGATAGCATAGGCGTAGGGTTACCATTATATTTGGACACATTAAAAAAAGGAGTTCCTGAACACCTGTTGTGTAAATGATTATTAGCAGTAGACTGAAACCAAAAGAAATTGTAATTGAATTAATGCCAAGAAAAAATACACAACGATAGATTAGTCAAACATAATGTCTCACATGTTTTTTTTTGATGGGTGAAAATAGTATGGTAACCCCGCCTGCGCTAACGGGATACGCTGGCGGAGCACCAGTTAGCCCATGATGAGAATGAGAATGAAAACAGGCCAGTTAGCCCATCATGATGAATTCATCAGGAATTAACCATGATAGTTTCCAGGGGGAACCGCGAGGATGTCGACCTGGTATATTGCTAGCAATGGGAATCTCAGTCTCCATTACTAACAATCCCTTTCCCCCTTGTCTCACATGTTATACAGTATCACAATTGTATATAGAGAACGCGTGTCCACGTCATACCGATAGGGGGGAAGGGATTGTTAGTAACGCAGACTATCAGTCTCATTACTAGCAATATACCCTATCAAGTCGACCTACACGCGGTTCCCCCT